CCAGAGGGCGTCTCACACACACCACATATCCATCTGAACACCAGAGGGCGTCTCACACACACCACATATCTCTCTGAACACCAGAGGGCGTCTCACACACACCACATATCTCTCTGAACACCAGAGGGCGTCTCACACACACCACATATCTCTCTGAACACCAGAGGGCGTCTCACACACACCACATATCTCTCTGAACACCAGAGGGCGTCTCACACACACCACATATCCATCTGAACACCAGAGGGCGTCTCACACACACCACATATCCATCTGAACACCAGAGGGCGTCTCACACACACCACATATCCATCTGAACACCAGAGGGCGTCTCACACACACCACATATCCATCTGAACACCAGAGGGCGTCTCACACACACACACGCACACACACTCACCAAATATCCGCACATCATTCCAGGAAACCCCATCGCTGTTGCTGAATAATCAGAGTGAAACGCTTTGATTAAACATGACTAATAAACACACGACTGCCTTATTCTGTGTGAGAAGCGCATCATCTCACAGAAGGATGAGCTCAGCTGTGCTTATGAAGTGAGTTTGGAGTAAAAGCATGTTATTAAGGACAAGAGCTTCATAAATGCTTCTCATGTTTGGAAAGATGTTTGCCACGCACGTGTTGCTTTTTCAAACGCACGTTATAAGCGACTCAAACTCGCAGTGCTTTCAGACGGAGCCGCGTTTACAGAGCCGTGCTTCACTGACAAGCTGCACATAAAATACAATCACAGCCTTTGCAGTTTCAACATCTCGATAACCCGACTCGATTTAAGTGCGATTACATGTAAATTGCGATTAATCGTGCAGCCTTCAGAAAGTCCCTGCTTGCTTGTAGTACTTTTTCAAAGTTCAAAGTTCAGAACTTTCGGGGGTGGGACTTGGGCGCTGAACATGCTGATTGGTTGAGTTCATGCCGCATTTTGATTGGTTGACATTTCAACCACCATTTTAAAAAATCTGTTGCGTTGCGTGCAGTCCTAAGTCACTGGACTACTTTGCCTAATCTTCATGGTACTTTAGACAGAGGTGGAAAAGCAGAAAGCAACAAGTTCCTGGGACAAATTGTTCCGGGTAATTTCAGTGGAAACACATTTTTGGATTTAGCTTTTGTAGCATCATCCTCTCTCTTGTCCACATCAGTCGGTGAATTAGGTGAGCCTCCATTCAATGAAGGATTTATGATTTGCTGCACTGTCAGATGTTTCTTAGAACATACTTGGCAAATTAAATGTTTTTTTGCAGGCCTTTGTTAGATGTCCTTTTTTGAGACAAGCAAAACAAAGACTCATTTGTTCTCAAGAATTCAATTTATCCTTGTGTGATATGTTCGCCATTTTAACACAGGAGTTCATTGCATGATCACAGGCACAAAACAAGAACTTTTGTTGACTATTCTCCTTTGATACTTCGATAGAAGAAGCCGTTGTAGCAAAACTTCTCCTGCAGGAAGATTTATATAATGGAAGTTCAGTCTTTGACATCTTTCTGATGTTAGAATTTGTTTTCAGATCTTGAATCTCTCCAAAGACTGGATCAAGAAGAATCTTAGCTTGTTTCTCAATGAAAGCTACCAAGTCAGCAAAGCCTGGCCTTCTTATAAAGAAGCCTAAAGACTAATTATTTTTAGATTGAATGGTAAATTCAACGCCATGTTAGCCAGATCTTGTGCATCCTCTGAGTTAGATTGCATAACTATTCAATGCTTTTTCATCATCAGAGCGAATGTTACCCTGTTTTAAAGCTTTCTCCATGTATGCACTAGCAATCTTACATTTATGTCCAAAATGGTGCTTTAGAAAACGTTTGTGTTGAGTGCCTCGAAATAAATGTATTAACACCGTTACTGAACTTAACGTGTCGTTCTCTTTATTCTTCCACCTCACATGTTCTTCACTTCTCTCTTTTCATTTCTGTCTTACACACCAGAGCTCCCTCTAGAGGTTTACTATAGAACACCACAGTTTGGCCTCAGCATAACCTCTGCTAGCGTAGAGACAACTTCAAACAAGTTCAAGAACTCAAACTGTTCCAGATAATACAATCGGTCTTGATTGTTATTCGTTTTCTCCTTAACTTTATGGAAGAAAGACCTCGTGAAAAATCTATATTGAATCACTCTTGTTTCTTCTAGGTCACAAGTAAATCAGCCAGGAGTGCGTTTCCCAAAAGCATCGTTGGCCAACTATGATCGTAATTTCCATTGAACTATATTGGTACGACGGAACTTGCGACCATAATTGGCTTTGGGAAACGCACCCCAGATCGCTTTGTCTTTGGTGTTACTAGCTTCACTTTGTGACGTTGTAGTTGGAGCTGCAATTGCTGTTTGATTATCAGCAGGCTTTGAAGAAGTTTGAGTTCAATGAAGAATCCTTTGCAGTGTTGTTTTAGGAATTGGTCCAATCCTCTTAAAATGTAGAGGAGAGGATTCAGACTCAACGAGCAAAGACGATTTTTTTTCCAGAGCCGTATCCAGATATTCGTTAATAGCATTTCCTAATTTGACAGATGAGTGAGAACTATGCAGTGAACTTGCTTTGGAAATATCCAACACCTTTAATTGTGCATTCACAGCCTCTATTTCAGACGGCAGCTGAAAAGCTTCCATCTTAGATTCCAGCTTTTTCCAACTCAAGCACCGGTTTCCTTGTAAAAAGCTTCAACACAAGCAAAAAAGCTGCTTTATCGGCTGCACTTTTCACATGAGCCGGCAGAATTGAACTGGGTCTCGGTTTATTTTGATCTTTGGAGACATTAGATGCATTTTCAATAGGCTCAATCAAAGTCTGTGGATCAGATTGGTTCATTTCCCACAGCTCTAATTCATTCGAGAGCTTGGTTAAAGGGACCCTTATTGGCTAAAACCAGCCAATCCTTTCACTTTCTTTGACATCATCAGATAAAAACAATTGTACAGACTCGTGCACTTAATAAAACTCATTTAAAGCTCTTTGAAATTCAAGGTGAAGTTCATTTACTTTGTCAGCATTTGCTCCCATCAACCATCAAAGCCTTCAATTCATTCATTTTTCTTGCACAGGCGAGAAACGTTCAAACGTTCAATTTAAAACGTTCAATTGCAATATCAGCCTTCAATCTCAGTCATCATAGACACTTGTTGTTATTCACAACCGCTTTATGTGTTTGGCTCAGAGTGCAATCATCGCTCACCTTTATTTATTGACCAGGAGTGCGTTTCCCGAAAGCATCGTTATCCAACTATGATCGCAATTTCCAGTGAACTCTATTGGTAACGACGGAACTTGCGACCATAGTTGGCTTTGGGAAACGCACCCCAGAATGAGAATCAAGCTTGCGTTCTTGCATCCAAATAACTGGCTTAAATCTTTGGCCCATATAAAACCACTTTGTTTGAACCACCTTGCAAGACTGCTCATCATCTTCATCATCAATCCCCAAAACATGTGCATATGCGCCGAAAATCTTGCTTTGAACACTTGCAAAGTTCATAGACAGCTTTCAATTCACACCATATCAGATCGTCAAAGCTTAATCACACTTCCATCTCAGCTCGGCCGCCAGCATAATAATCCATAATAAAACTCGCCAAATGGCTACTCACCGCACGTTCAAACAGCGTCTTAGTGAAGTCAGTCAGATCCAGCGCTGAATACTCTGAAGGTGCAGTAAACAAACCGCAGATGTTCGCATCAGTGGCCAGTTTATCGGGTCGTTGCCGCACGATCCGCTTCCGCGTCTTCACGGGATTCTCGGACTTCAGTATAGCGGCACATTTGTAATGATGAGCCGCTGTCCAGATGGGACTGGGAGGGAGAGCAATTGATGCATGAGTCCGTAGCATATCTTCTTAGTAGGCTAGTTTATTTTCGAAGAATGAAATTGAATAAAGCAAACAGTTGAGCCATATTTTCACCGCTAACAATCACACGCGCACACACCCATAGACACGCGTTCTGAAATTTATATCCGAACTCCACCCCCACTTCCTTATCGAAATATACACAATAATATAATACAAGTCTCCATTCGAAAATGCATTAACATTCAGTGCAAATACTCACAAATAATAATTATCAAACTTAAACTTGATTATATTCAAATTATTAAATCAGTCCATTGAGTCCAAATATATGAAATGGAAATGGCTCTAACATATTTCGTGAGTAAAAAACAACAACTCTGTACTTATTCACAGAACCCATTCTGTATCTACCCTTGCATTGCAAACAAGCAGAGACGCTCCAAACTTCGCGATAGAGGTGGGGCGGAGTTATGAGGTTTGATTGACAGTTTGAGTATCCAATGGAGATACGAGGTTTAGTCAGGATCTCTTTTTAATACTTTTCATTGGCCAAAATATTTGCAAAACCCACAGAGAGACATAAAGGGTGGACAATAGTAATGATTTATGAAACAAATGGAGTTACGGGTTTCCGCCTAATATTTTACATTTTGTTCATTTACAGGTGAAACTATGAAAATTTTAATATCGTGCAAAAATTAATTTATTTCAGTAATTCAACTTAAAAGGTGAAACTAATATATTATATAGACTCATTACATGCAAAGTGAGATATTTCAAGCCTTTTTTTGTTATAATTTTGATGATTATGGCTTACAGCTGTAAAACCTTTTCACAATATTCTAATTTTGAATTTGGGGTTTTCATAAGCTGTAAACCATAATTATCAACATTATAACAAAAAAAGCCTTGGAATATCTCACTTTGCATGTAATGAGTCTATATAATACATTAGTTTCACCTTTTAAGTTGAATTACTGAAATAAATGAACTTTTGCACCATATTCAAATTTTTCAAGTTTCACCTGTAAATAGTAATTGTCTTACAGAGTTTTAGTATTAGGATGAAATAATAATATTATATATATATATACGCCTTTGGATAAACCTGGCCCTGTCCGTCGCTTTGAGAGAACTTTGCCAGAACGCTGATAGCTGGGTGTGTTTCCATTAAACCTGCCGAGTGTGTTCAGTGTTTCTGGACAGGCGTGATGCTGTGCGTCTGCTCAGGACTCGAAGAGCAGGAGTGTTACGAGGAGCTGTGCTCTCTGGAGGAGGCGGCCGAGATCTTCCAGAGCAAAGAGAAAACGGTACAGTCGCATCATCTGGTCTCACTTTGATATCTCTAAATCTATTTACTGTTTGTGCTTCCATTAAATATTCCACATTTTGTTTGGTTGATCTTAATAAAGTCACCTTGAAACGGAAGTTGTGATCATCTATTGTGCCGTATATCTGAGTGAAACGCTTCTCAAACAAGAACAAATGTGGGCGGGTCTTGATTTTGTCTGTGGGGAATTGATTGGATGGTTGTGGTTTGCTATTGGTGGATCTCATGTGAGTGACAGGTTATTGCCCCGCCCTCGTCATCAGAGAAGAGAAGAGAGGAAGTTATTCTGATTCAAGATCACCAGAAACATGAATTTAACGCAATAATAATGTGCACTGATAAATCATTTAGTATAAATACTGTAATATTCCATAAAAAAACAACAAGAATTGACCGTTTTGATTTCATGGGGTTCTTGCGTTGCTATATGGTTCTTTAAAGTTCCTGATGATTTATCAAGTACTTTAGATCAATGTTTTGGTTTTTTTGAGTTCTTTATAAAGCACAAGAACATCCAGGTGGATTTCTTAAAAAGTAATTTTTTTATTGCATAACAGAACAATAACAACATACACATTTAGAGGATCACAATGTATTCAACTATTATCTATTACATTCATCATAATAGCATAAATAATAATAATACTTTTTTTTTTTTTTTACAGGGGATAACTTACAAAAAAAAAAATCACAAAAATTCCATACATCCGTTTTGCATTTTTATTTCACTTACTCGAATTCTTCTATCTATGACATCACACTGCAAAAACGTCTTTAGTTCTAAACGGAACTTTCATTGCTAAGAGTGAATGACATCACTGTTCTCTGACCTCTCGTGTTCTTCTAGATGGAGTTCTGGTACAGATATCGGAGTAAGTGTTTAGAAGTCTAACTCTTCTGAATGAACCAGTCTGAGACGTGTTGCTGAGGTAAATGTGTTGTTTAGACGGTAACCTGTGTCGCTTTAACCCGTGTGTGAACGGAGGGATCTGCAGTGAGAGTCGAGGTGTTCACGAGTGTCTCTGTCCTCCACAGTACAGCGGACACAACTGTCAGACAGGTACTGATGCCCTGGTGAAAAGAACGTATACTTTATTGGATTTGAAATATATTTTCTTTTTCAACGGTACATTGCAGAAACACTAACAAAAAATGGTACTACCTTTAAATATATTAAAAGTATATTAGCATCATGCTTTTACCTATTTTCACAATACAACTTTTAACACACTTTAAAATAATTGCACTTAAGTATATTTTCTAAAAATATATTTTAGAGAAATATACTTGAAGTGAAAATTCTGTTTATTTAAAAAAATATATTATTTATTTGCACTGTATTCAAAATATATTTTAGGTATAACTGTGCTGAAAATGATCATTGTAACAATACATTGGAAGTATACTTTCAAAATACATTATAGTATATTGTACAAAGTATAGCTAAGTAATATATGTTTATTAATGCAAATGCATTTGTTTTTGAAGACAAAGTGTGCAATTTGTAGTATTTGGAATAAGTCAAAGGTATTTCTGAACATATACTTTTTACTCAAATATAATACACTTATGGTATTTATTTAGTGTATGTTTCGAATACACTCGTAATGAATTTGTAATGTACTTGTAACACAAATAAAATACACTTCAATATCACTAATCAAGCATCTAATTAGTCCCTACACAGGCATATACTTAAAGTATACTATCTCACGAACAATTTGTACGAATTGTTCCACTTTAACACACAAAACTGCACTAAATACACTTAAATTAATTTAATTACAACTAAAATATACTTAGTACAAAATTAGTTGTTCCAAAATAGCACACTTCAAGTTAACTAATCATTAATACATTTGAAGTATACTAAATTAGTCTGGCTGCAAGTATACTTTGCATGTGTGTGTGTGTGTGTGTGTTCAGAGGTGTTTGACTGTAGATATAAGAATACTTATTCTGAATGGCTCAAGAATACTTCTGATGCTCATGATTGTTTCCTCACAGATAGCAGACAGTGAGTGTGTGTGTGTGTGTGTGTGTGTGTGTTCAGAGGTGTTTGACTGTAGGTATAAGAACGGAGGGTGTCTGCACTACTGCAGCTCAGAGCAGACTCCAGGTGTTGTGTGCAGATGTGCAGACGGGTATCAGCTGGATGAAGACCAACGCAGCTGCAATCCATCAGGTACAAACACACACACACACACACACCTGCGCAACAAAAGAGATCAGCTCACATGCTTAAATCATTAACCATTCATATTTTAAAGGTGAATCTCACCAAACATGTCCTTAAAATCAAAGAAATTCATTATTTGAGCATTATTAAGAGAATGTGCAAAGAAAGGGATTGCTAAACACACACTCTTGCACTTTTTTTTTTGCATTATATGGATTTTATAAAATAAAAATATTTTTGCTAGACCTTCATTAGTGAATATTTTCTAGTCTGGATGTAACTCAGTTTACGGTTTGCAATCCCTTTGTTTGCATTGATTTGTTTTTGTGTGTGTGTGTGGCTCGGCGATGCACATGAAGCAACATGATTTTTAGTTGGAGTGCAACAATTGTGTGTGATATATATATATATATATATATATTTACAGTATTATTGATATACTTGTATAGTTCATTTTATAATCTCTGTTTTAGTTTTCATTAAAAAAAAATCTGGGATTTTTTTTAACCTTTTTGATATTTTTCTTAACTGTCTATATAATTTTAGTATTAGTTATTTTAGAGAACTTACAATAAATAAGTAAATAGAAATGTTGGCAACTAGCTGAAATAAAATAAGCTTTTTATATTAGTTTTTTTTTTGGCAATGTAGATTTCATTTCAAATAATGAAAATGTGTTTTGATGGTTTTAGTTAATGATAATAACTGATATATATATATATATATATATATATGCATAATTTTGCTAAAACAAAATATTTATTATTTCTCTTATTTTGGGGCGAAATATGCACCTTTTTTTTTTTTTACAGCTTTCATGATGTTTTTTTTTTATAAATGTAAACAGTATATCTGAACAAATCTAGATGTTTCTGTGTATGTATGTGTGTCTGTGTTTTTATGTGTGTTTGATTCTGTGTGTGTTTATGTATATATGTCTGTTTGTGTGTATATATATATGTGTGTGTGTGTGTGTGTGTGTGTTAGTGCAGTACCCCTGTGGGAAACAGTGGAGTGGTGGGATCATGTCTCGCTCTCTGGATGATATAAGCACCACAGATCCTGATGATGTAAACCACACCCACACCGTGACAAACTCCTCCCACTCATTGCATCACAACAGAAGTTCACTGGACAACTCGACTCTCCCGCCAAACCAAACCACACTTCAACAAGCCGAACCTGCTTCACAGGACGAGCTCTCAGAGACAGGAAGTGACATCACAGGTGCAAATGAGGATACGCGTATCGTTGGAGGTCAGCTGCAGAGTCAGGGCGGGAGTCCGTGGCAGGTGGGGCGAATCTGAACCTTCACATGACCTTTATGCTTAACCTTCAGAGATTTGATCAGTAAAGGTCCTTGCACACTGAGTCCGAAATTCGTATTCGTCATTCGGTGGCTTTGAATTGCCATAACACCTCTCAAAATGCTTGCTACAGATGCGAAAATCGCAGAAAATCGAACCCGATCCCAAAAAAATTATGGCGGACGAAAATTTTGCAGGCAGTGTCTAAACGTGAATCACACAACGTGAGGTTGTATTTATTTTTTTAACGTGCGAAAATTTCGGACTCAAGGTCCTGGCAAACTAAGTCTGAAATGTTCGTCCGAAATTTTGGCGCGTTAAAAAATAAATACGACCTCACGTTGTCTCAATCACGTTTGCACACTGCCACCGTCCGTCATAAAAAAAATTCGTATTAGGTTCGATTTTCTGCGTTTTTTGCATCCGTAGCAAGCACTTTAAGAGGTGTTATGACAATTCAGAGCCACCGAATGACGAATACGAAAATTTCGGACTCCGTGTTCAAGGACCATAACACTTTGAATGAAAACGCTGCAGGTTCTTCTCCGTCGTGAGGATGAGCAAGGGTTCTGCGGCGGCTCTCTGATCGATCTGCGCTGGGTGGTGACGGCAGCACACTGTCTCCAGCAAACACCAAACCATGTGACCGTCGGTGAGTGACGTCTGAGGCCCTGTCCCAAATGGCGCACTTCATGCGGACTTTCGGTCTCGTGGACTTAAATTGCGCGTGCTCGCCGAGTCTACGAGTCCGTAGGCCGTCCCATTTAGCATTTTAACGCTCTGAAGTGTGCTCAGCAGCGCCTCCTTTCTACCCTTGAAACGGTCTTCCGCGAAGCCCGCATAGATGCAGGCTCCACGCACTTTAACTACCCAGGAATCCTTGCGAAAGGCCAATCAGACAACGGATGGGAGGAGATTTCGCTCACGGATAATTGTTAACATGGCTGAGAAGAAAATATTTAAGTGTAAAGCCCATCAGGGCTTTACCCATCAGGGCTTTACTGAGTCATATGTAAACACAACAACAATAGGCAGCATATTTCCCCGAACCTGTAGCTCCTGTCCATAACACCAATCAGACCGTCTTCCTGTTTCCGGCGTGACGATCGAGTCTGTCCCAAAAATACCTCTCAATGCGCTCTCGCGGACTCGCGCTAAGGGCCCTATAGGTCTGCACTACATGACGTCACCGAAGTGTGGACTCTGAGGAAGTCCACAAGTCCGGAGTGTGCCATTTGGGACAGGGCCTGTCTGATGGGACCCTTCATGCCTCATATGACGCTCGTGTTGCAGTGTTCAGAAACGTGGTTATTACATGTAAATGAAAATTGATGCATTCTGAACACGGTTAACTATATGAGTGATACAAGGTTACAGTTTCCTTATGTGGAATAGTACCGTTCAAAAAAATGATATACTATATACACACATAATGTCTGTCTCTTATGCTCTACATTTATGTAAAAACATTAATATTATGAAATACTATTACAATTTAAATTTGACTTTCTATGTGAATGTATGTTAAAAATCAAATTTATTCCTGTGATCAAAGCTGAATGTTGAGCATCATTACTCCAGTCTTCAGTGTCACATGATCCTTTAGAAATCAGTATAATATGATGATTTGATGGTTCTGGTTAATATCCGGTGGAAGGAATGAAAGAGATTGAATATCTTCTTTTATCTTCAGTTGATTTCATCTAAGGCTGTGGCTGGAAGTCAGTTGTTGTTTCTCTTTCCTTCAGTGATTCTGCTTGTTAACAGCAGGCGTTCATAACTAACGCTCAATCATCACTTGATTAATCACTTAATTATCTCATTCATATATTTTGCTGTCTGGCCTTGACTACTTCTCTGATGTTAAAGGTTGTATCAGCGATTTCAGGCCCAAAAAATAATTATCACATTCATCTAATCTTTCCTAACGATCCGCTAGCTGCCCGCCCCATAAGCAGGCCGTCAAAAAAAACGTGTCTCTGTAGGGAGCCTCGGCTCTGAGATCTGCACACAAAAACAAATGGGTACAACCACCACTCAAAACCAAAATAAACAGTGTTCCAACCAATCACCGAAAGGGGCGGACGCGTTTTTTTGACAGCCTGCTTATGGGGCGGGCAGCTAGCGGATTGTTTGGAAAGATTAGATGAATGTGATAATTTATTTTTGGGCCTGAAATCGCTGATACAACCTTTAAAGGGATAGTTCACCCAAAAATGATCCCATGGTTTATTCACCCTCAAGCCATCCTAGGTGTGTATGAGTTTCTTCTTTCAGCCGAACACAATCAGAGTTATATTTAAAAATATCCTGGCTCTTCCAAGCTTTATAATGTGAGGTTTTATTTAAGCCCAAAATATAGGTCAGAGGTTACTAGAGTCGCATATGGCCTTTACTGAAAGCCAGTGATTACAGCTTATAAAGTTATAAATATGGATATTTTTTGTACCAAAATGCATCTGTTCGCTTCAGAAGGCCTTTATTAACCCCCCGGAGCCGTATAGATTACTTGTATGATGGATGGATGCACTTTTTTGGGCTTCAAAATATCAGTTAATATTCACTCCCATTATAAAGCTTGGAAGAGCCAGGACATTTTTTAATATAACTCTGATTGTGTTCGTCTGAAAGAAGAAAGTCATACACACCTAGGATGGCTTGGGAGTGAGTAAATGATGGGCAAATTTTTATTTTTGGGTGAACTATCCCTTTAACAAATTAAAGCTTTATTGTACCTTTTTCAGATTTTGTGCTGAACCCAGACATGAATTTATGATATTCACACACACAGGAGACTACGATAAAATGCGTCCCGACAAAGACGAACAGAAGATCAAAGTGGAGAAGGTGGTCCTCCACCCTCACTTCCACGAATACACCTTCGACAGTGACATCGCTCTGCTGTACCTGTCTGCCCCCGTGACCCCGGGTCCATTCGCCGCTCCGGTTTGCCTTCCAGACGCCAACCTGGCGGAGCGACTCCTGAAGCCTGGAGAGCAGGGCCTGGTGACGGGATGGGGTGTGTGGTAGATTATTCTTCTTTACCATCTTTTGCACCTGATTTAAGTCTACCTGGGTCATCTACTAATCGACGTCCACAAACGTCTCCTGATCGATGTTAGTTTACCTGGGTCTGGTCTACTAATCGACGTCCACAAACATCTCCTGATCGACGTTAGTTTTCCTGGGTCTCGTCTACTAATCGACGTCCACAAACATCTCCTGATCGACGTTAGTTTACCTGGGTCTGGTCTACTAATCGACGTCCACAAACATCTCCTGATCGACGTTAAATTACCTGGGTCTGGTCTACTAATCGACGTCCACAAACATCTCCTGATCGACGTTAGTTTTCCTGGGTCTCGTCTACTAATCGACGTCCACAAACATCTCCTGATCGACGTTAGTTTACCTGGGTCTGGTCTACTAATCGACGTCCACAAACATCTCCTGATCGACGTTAAATTACCTGGGTCTGGTCTACTAATCGACGTCCACAAACATCTCCTGATCGACGTTAGTTTTCCTGGGTCTGGTCTACTAATCGACGTCCACAAACATCTCCTGATCGACATTAGTTTTCCTGGGTCTCTTCTACTAATCGACGTCCACAAACATCTCCTGATCGACGTTAGTTTTCCTGGGTCTGGTCTACTAATCGACGTCCACAAACATCTCCTGATCGACGTTAGTTTTCCTGGGTCTCGTCTACTAATCGACGTCCACAAACGTCTCCTGATCGACGTCAGTTTACCTGGGTCTCGTCTACTAATCGACGTCCCCGAATGTCTCCTGATCGACGTTAGTTTACCTGGGTCTCGTCTACTAATCGACGTCCCTGAACATCTCCTGATCGATGTAAGTTTACCTGGGTCTCGTCTACTAATCGACGTCCACAAACGTCTCCTGATCAATGTTAGTTTACCTGGGTCTCGTCTACTAATCGACATCCCTGAACATCTCCTGATCGATGTAAGTTTACCTGGGTCTCGTCTACTAATCGACGTCCACAAACGTCTCCTGATCGGCATCAGTTTACCTGGGTCTTGTCTACTAATCAACGTCCCCGAACGTCTCCTGATGGATATTAGTTTACCTGGGTCTCGTCTACTAATCGACGTCCACAAACATCTCCTGATCGACGTTAGTTTTCCTGGGTCTGGTCTACTAATCGACGTCCACAAACATCTCCTGATCGACATTAGTTTTCCTGGGTCTCTTCTACTAATCGACGTCCACAAACATCTCCTGATCGACGTTAGTTTTCCTGGGTCTGGTCTACTAATCGACGTCCACAAACATCTCCTGATCGACGTTAGTTTTCCTGGGTCTCGTCTACTAATCGACGTCCACAAACATCTCCTGATCGGCGTTAGTTTTCCTGGGTCTCGTCTACTAATCGACGTCCACAAACATCTCCTGATCGACGTTAAATTACCTGGGTCTGGTCTACTAATCGACGTCCACAAACATCTCCTGATCGACGTTAGTTTTCCTGGGTCTCGTCTACTAATCGACGTCCACAAACGTCTCCTGATCGACGTCAGTTTACCTGGGTCTCGTCTACTAATCGACGTCCCCGAATGTCTCCTGATCGACGTTAGTTTACCTGGGTCTCGTCTACTAATCGACGTCCCTGAACATCTCCTGATCGATGTAAGTTTACCTGGGTCTCGTCTACTAATCGACGTCCACAAACGTCTCCTGATCAATGTTAGTTTACCTGGGTCTCGTCTACTAATCGACATCCCTGAACATCTCCTGATCGATGTAAGTTTACCTGGGTCTCGTCTACTAATCGACGTCCACAAACGTCTCCTGATCGGCATCAGTTTACCTGGGTCTTGTCTACTAATCAACGTCCCCGAACGTCTCCTGATGGATATTAGTTTACCTGGGTCTCGTCTACTAATCGACGTCCACAAACGTCTCCTGATCGACGTTAGTTTACCTGGGTCTTGTCTACTAATCGACCTCCCCGAACGTCTCCTGATCGACGTCAGTTTACCTGGGTCTGGTCTACTAATCGACGTCCACAAACATCTCCTGATCAACGTTAGTTTACCTGGGTCTGGTCTACTAATCGACGTCCACAAACATCTCCTGATCGACGTTAGTTTTCCTGGGTCTCGTCTACTAATCGACGTCCACAAACATCTCCTGATCGACGTTAGTTTACCTGGGTCTGGTCTACTAATCGACGTCCACAAACATCTCCTGATCGACGTTAGTTTTCCTGGGTCTCGTCTACTAATCGACGTCCACAAACGTCTCCTGATCGACGTCAGTTTACCTGGGTCTCGTCTACTAATCGACGTCCCCGAATGTCTCCTGATCGACGTTAGTTTACCTGGGTCTCGTCTACTGATCGACGTCCACAAACGTCTCCTTATCGACGTCAGTTTACCTGGGTCTCGTCTACTAATCGACGTCCACAAACGTCTCCTGATCGACGTCAGTTTACCTGGGTCTCGTCTACTAATCGACGTCCCCGAATGTCTCCTGATCGACGTTAGTTTACCTGGGTCTCGTCTAATAATCGACGTCCACAAACGTCTCCTGATCGATGTTAGTTTACCTGGGTCTCGTCTACTAATCGACATCCCTGAACATCTCCTGATCGATGTTAGTTTACCTGGGTCTCGTCTACTAATCGACGTCCACAAACGTCTCCTGATCGATGTTAGTTTACCTGGGTCTCGTCTACTAATCGACGTCCCTGAACATCTCCTGATAGATGTTAGTTTTCCTGGGTCTGGTCTACTAATCGACGTCCACAAACATCTCCTGATCGACGTTAGTTTTCCTGGGTCTCGTCTACTAATCGACGTCCACAAACATCTCCTGATCGACGTTAGTTTTCCTGGGTCTGGTCTACTAATCGACGTCCACAAACATCTCCTGATCGACGTTAGTTTTCCTGGGTCTCGTCTACTAATCGACGTCCACAAACATCTCCTGATCGGCGTTAGTTTTCCTGGGTCTCGTCTACTAATCGACGTCCACAAACGTCTCCTGATCGACGTCAGTTTACCTGGGTCTCGTCTACTAATCGACGTCCCCGAATGTCTCCTGATCGACGTTAGTTTACCTGGGTCTCGTCTACTAATCGACGTCCCTGAACATCTCCTGATCGATGTAAGTTTACCTGGGTCTCGTCTACTAATCGACGTCCACAAACGTCTCCTGATCAATGTTAGTTTACCTGGGTCTCGTCTACTAATCGACATCCCTGAACATCTCCTGATCGATGTAAGTTTACCTGGGTCTCGTCTACTAATCGACGTCCACAAACGTCTCCTGATCGGCATCAGTTTACCTGGGTCTTGTCTACTAATCAACGTCCCCGAACGTCTCCTGATGGATATTAGTTTACCTGGGTCTCGTCTACTAATCGACGTCCACAAACGTCTCCTGATCGACGTTAGTTTACCTGGGTCTTGTCTACTAATCGACCTCCCTGAACGTCTCCTGATCGACGTCAGTTTACCTGGGTCTGGTCTACTAATCGACGTCCACAAACATCTCCTGATCGACGTTAGTTTACCTGGGTCTGGTCTACTAATCGACGTCCACAAACATCTCCTGATCGACGTTAGTTTTCCTGGGTCTCGTCTACTAATCGACGTCCACAAACATCTCCTGATCGACGTTAGTTTACCTGGGTCTGGTCTACTAATCGACGTCCACAAACATCTCCTGATCGACGTTAGTTTTCCTGGGTCTCGTCTACTAATCGACGTCCACAAACGTCTCCTGATCGACGTCAGTTTACCTGGGTCTCGTCTACTAATCGACGTCCCCGAATGTCTCCTGATCGACGTTAGTTTACCTGGGTCTCGTCTACTGATCGACGTCCACAAACGTCTCCTTATCGACGTCAGTTTACCTGGGTCTCGTCTACTAATCGACGTCCACAAACGTCTCCTGATCGACGTCAGTTTACCTGGGTCTCGTCTACTAATCGACGTCCCCGAATGTCTCCTGATCGACGTTAGTTTACCTGGGTCTCGTCTAATAATCGACGTCCACAAACGTCTCCTGATCGATGTTAGTTTACCTGGGTCTCGTCTACTAATCGACATCCCTGAACATCTCCTGATCGATGTTAGTTTACCTGGGTCTCGTCTACTAATCGACGTCCACAAACGTCTCCTGATCGATGTTAGTTTACCTGGGTCTCGTCTACTAATCGACGTCCCTGAACATCTCCTGATAGATGTTAGTTTACCTGGGTCTCGTCTACTAATCGACGTCCACAAACGTCTCCTGATCGGCATCAGTTTACCTGGGTCTTGTCTACTAATCAACGTCCCCGAACGTCTCCTGATCGATATTAGTTTACCTGGGTCTCGTCTACTAATCGACGTCCACAAACGTCTCCTGATCGACGTTAGTTTTCCTGGGTCTCGTCTACTAATCGACCTCCCCGAACGTCTCCTGATCAACGTCAGTTTACCTGGGTCTCGTCTACTAATCGACGTCCACAAACGTCTCCTGATCGACGTCAGTTTACCTGGGTCTCGTCTACTAATCGATGTCCACAAACGTCTCCTGATCGACATTAGTTTTCCTGGGTCTCGTCTACTAATCGACGTCCACAAACGTCTCCTGATCGGCGTCAGTTTACCTGGGTCTCGTCTACTAATCAACGTCCCCGAACGTCTCCTGATCGATATTAGTTTACCTGGGTCTCGTCTACTAATCGACGTCCACAAACGTCTCCTGATCGGCGTCAGTTTACCTGGGTCTTGTCTACTAATCAACGTCCCCGAATGTCTCCTGATCGACGTTAGTTTTCCTGGGTCTCGTCTACTAATCGACATCCACAAACATCTCCTGATCGATGTTAGTTTTCCTGGGTCTCGTCTACTGATCGACGTCCACAAACGTCTCCTGATCGACGTTAGTTTTCCTGGGTCTCGTCTACTAATCGACGTCCACAAACGTCTCCTGATCGACGTTAGTTTTCCTGGGTCTCGTCTACTAATCGACGTCCACAAACATCTCCTGATCGATGTTAGTTTTCCTGGGTCTCGTCTACTGATCGACGTCCACAAACGTCTCCTGATCGACGTCAGTTTACCTGGGTCTCGTCTACTAATCGACGTCCACAAACGTCTCCTGATCGACGTTGGTTTACCTGGGTCTCGTCTAATGATCGACGTCCACAAACGTCTCCTGATAGATGTTAGTTTACCTGGGTCTCGTCTACTGATCGACGTCCCCGAACGTCTCCTAATCGATGTTAGTTTTCCTGGGTCTCGTCTACTAATCGGCGTCCACAAACGTCTCCTGATCGATGTTAGTTTTCCTGGGTCTCGTCTACTGATCGACGTCCCCGAACGTCTCCTGATCGATGTTAGTTTACCTGGGTCTCGTCTACTAATCGACGTCCCTGAACATCTCCTGATCGACGTTAGTTTTCCTGGGTCTCGTCTACTAATCGGCGTCCACAAACGTCTCCTGATCGATGTTAGTTTACCTGGGTTTTGTCTACTGATCGACGTCCCCGAACGTCTCCTGATCGATGTTAGTTTTCCTGGGTCTCGTCTACTAATCGACGTCCACAAACATCTCCTGATCGACGTCAGTTTTCCTGGGTCTTGTCTACTAATCAACGTCCACAAACGTCTCCTGATCGACATTAAATTACCTGGGTCTTGTCTACTAATCGACGTCCACAAACGTCTCCTGATCGACGTTAGTTTACCGGGGTCTTGTCTACTAATCAACGTCCACAAACGTCTCCTGATCGACGTTAAAATACCTGGGTCTCGTCTACTAATCGACGTCCACAAACATCTCCTGATCGACGTCAGTTTTCCTGGGTCTTGTCTACTAATCAACGTCCACAAACGTCTCCTGATCGACGTTAAATTACCTGGGTCTTGTCTACTAATCGACGTCCACGAACGTCTCCTGATCGATGTTAGTTTTCCTGGGTCTCGTCTACTAATCGACGTCCACAAACATCTCCTGATCGACGTCAGTTTTCCTGGGTCTTGTCTACTAATCAACGTCCACAAACGTCTCCTGATCGACGTTAAATTACCTGGGTCTTGTCTACTGATCGACGTCCCCGAACGTCTCCTGATCGACGTTAGTTTTCCTGGGTCTCGTCTACTGATGGATGACCCCGAACGTCTCCTAAACGACGTTAGTTTACCTGGGTCTCGTCTACTAATCCACGTCCCCGAACGTCTCCTTATCGACGTTAGTTTCCTGGGTCTCGTCTACTAATCGACGTTAAATTACCTGGGTCTTGTCTACTAATCGACGTCCCCGAACGTCTCCTGATCGACATTAGTTTACCTGGATCTCGTCTACTAATCGACGTCCACAAACGTCTCCTGATCGCATTAGTTTACCTGGGTCTCGTCTACTAATCGACGTCCCCGAACGTCTCCTGATCGACGTTAGTTTCCTGGGTCTCGTCTACTAATCGATGACCCCGAACGTCTCCTGATCGCATTAGTTTACCTGGGTCTCGTCTACTAATCGACGTCCCAGAACGTCTCCTGATCGACGTTAGTTTACCTGGGTCTCGTCTACTAATCGGCGTCCACAAACGTCTCCTGATCGACATTAGTTTACCTGGGTCTGGTCTACTAATCGACGTCCACAAACGTCTCCTGATGGACGTTAGTTTACCTGGGTCTCGTCTACTAATCGGCGTCCACAAACGTCTCCTGATCGACATTAGTTTACCTGGGTCTCGTCTACTAATCGGCGTCCACAAACGTCTCCTGATCGACATTAGTTTACCTGGGTCTGGTCTACTAATCGACGTCCCCGAACGTCTCCTGATCGACGTTAGTTTACCTGGGTATCGTCTACTAATCGACGTCCACAAACGTCTCCTGATCGACATTAGTTTACCTGGGTCTCGTCTACTAATCGACGTCCAAAAACGTCTCCTGATCGACATTAGTTTTCCTGGGTCTCGTCTACTAATCGACGTCCAAAAACGTCTCCTGATCGACATTAGTTTTCCTGGGTCTCGTCTACTAATCGACGTCCAAAAACGTCTCCTGATCGATGTTAGTTTTCCTGGGTCTCGTCTACTAATCGACCTCCCCGAACGTCTCCTGATCGACGTCAGTTTACCTGGGTCTCGTCTACTAATCGACGTCCCCGAACGTCTCCTGATCGACATTAGTTTACCTGGGTCTCGTCTACTAATCGACGTCCACAAACGTCTCCTTATCGACGTTAGTTTCCTGGGTCTCGTCTACTAATCGATGACCCCGAACGTCTCCTGATCGCATTAGTTTACCTGGGTCTCGTCTACTAATCGACGTCCCAGAACGTCTCCTGATCGACGTTAGTTTACCTGGGTCTCGTCTACTAATCGACCTCCACAAACGTCTCCTGATCGACATTAGTTTACCTGGGTCTCGTCTACTAATCGACGTCCAAAAACGTCTCCTGATCGACGTTAGTTTACCTGGGTCTCGTCTACTAATCGACGTCCACAAACATCTCCTGATCGACATTAGTTTTCCTGGGTCTCGTCTACTAATCGACGTCCAAAAACGTCTCCTGATCGACATTAGTTTTCCTGGGTCTCGTCTACTAATCGACGTCCAAAAACGTCTCCTGATCAACATTAGTTTACCTGGGTCTCGTCTACTAATCGACGTCCAAAAACGTCTCCTGATCGACATTAGTTTACCTGGGTCTCGTCTACTAATCGACGTCCAAAAACGTCTCCTGATCGACGTTAGTTTACCTGGGTCTCGTCTACTAATCGACGTCCACAAACATCTCCTGATCGACATTAGTTTTCCTGGGTCTCGTCTACTAATCGACGTCCAAAAACGTCTCCTGATCGACATTAGTTTTCCTGGGTCTCGTCTACTAATCGACGTCCAAAAACGTCTCCTGATCGATGTTAGTTTTCCTGGGTCTCGTCTACTAATCGATGACCCCGTTCAATTATATTTATACTCTAGCTGTGCATCTCTTTATAGACGTCAGCTGAGTCCCCTAACTTCCTGTGCAGCAATAACTAGACAGACTCCAGACATGGCCTCCGAATATGCTTTAATCACGGCCGGAGGATCTCAGACAAATTTCAGAGAGAATCCCCCCAGCAAAAACAATACAAGTTTTTATAGAATAGGAGCATAGCAAAAGTGACATGATACATTAAATAATTTACCTACAATTTGATTGGTTCTTCATATGCAAACCCTTCTGTTACTAGGTAGAAGTAAACTCTTGTTTTCTTGATTGCTTCACTTTGTTCTTTAATCACGAGTTTATAAATTTAGATATCCGTCTAGTTTTTCCCCTTTTTGTTATATCCAGACATGATTCACAAACACACACACTCAGTCACAAGTTTATACCAAAGGGTTTGGAAACATTTAGGATTCAAAAGCATATGAATGTTATTCCTGCAAGAAAAATGTTAGTTATGATTAATTTAAAAATCCACCACAGGTGCGACTCGCTTCCTTCAGCGCTCCTCTCGATTCCTGAGGAAGGTGCTGCTCCCGGTGGTGGATCAGATGAACTGCATCAACTCCACGGAGCAGGTGATCACGGATAACATGTTCTGCGCGGGATATCTGATGGCGGAGATGGACGCGTGTACGGGCGACAGCGGCGGACCCTTCGTCGTCAACTACCGCGGCACGTGGTTCCTGGCCGGGGTCGTCAGCTGGGGCGAGAGATGCGCGGCCGAGGGCAAATACGGCGTTTATACACGACTGGGAAACTATTTATCCTGGATACGGGAGGAGATGATGAAAGAGGAATCCAGACGCAATCAGACTGCAAAAGTACAGTGAATATTGCCACCTAATATGCATTAACTAACGATGAGCTATTACAAGTTTTTAATTCATCTTTGTTAATGTTAGTTAATAAAAATACAACTGTTCATTGTTAGTTCTTGTTATGCTGTAAATAAAACAAAGATTATTAGAATGTTTTACAAGAAAATATGATTTCAATCCTTATACTTTAATTGTTTTGTGTAATTGATATTTACTTGCTATTTTTTAGAGCGAAAGCTGTTTCTACACCATTTTTCTTCAGTGTAGCTCAGGTCCAAAATATATATTAACAGACACAACTTTTAAAAAAATGCTTTAGAAGTATTGTTCATTGTTAGTTCATGTTAACTAATGAAATTGTACAGTGTTAACAATGTTTTGCTTGTTTAGTGCATCTTTTTTTTCGGCTCTAAAATTTTCATACAAACAAAAACATGATTTTTGACATGGATATGCAAGAAATGAAATCAACTCTTAAAAATTAAAATGTGCAAAAACTTGTCCCTTCGTGTGTGTGTATCTATCTATATATATATATATAAAGAAATATATACATATATATAGACATTATCTCAAAATTCACAAAAGTGACTATGTACTTCAAGGTTACCATGCATTTCCCCCATGAAGTACATTTTTTGTTTTGGCATTTGAAGGTAAAAATTTGAAGATTTTCAATTTGAAATATACATTTCTTTAAGCCATGCTGCTTACAACATATATTTGGCCAGAAGAAAATATTTCCAGTGAATTTCATATAAGATTTGGATATTTCCAGCAGTTCTGGATCTTGATGAATTGACTTCTGCAATCATATTCAAAATATTCAAGACACATGATTCTTTGGTCATGCAATACTTTTAATATTTTATTGTCTAATATCATTGGTTAAAGCCTGTTTTGGTTAATCGTGTTTAATGAGCCTCTTGTTCAGTTTAGTCAAATGACATTCACATGTATATCAAACCAAGAGACTTTTTAGGAATTATTGTTTAAGTACTTCAGATGAACAAACCTTGTTATTAATGATCAATAAAATTACATTATGGTTTTAAAATATAGTATAATTTTAAATTGTTGCAAATTTTATTTGCATTGTACACAGTGTATTTGACACTGCAAATAAAGGAAAGAAAAGAGCAGGGAGTACATGAGTAAAATGTAGAACATGGAAACTCTTTATTATGAAAGATACATAAGAACCAAACGCATAATGTTCCCAGATCATCTCTCTGGGCTCTGAATACATTTTAAAGGCGCAGCTACGCAAACTCAGGCATAGCTACAGTACAGACACGCGGCTTCACGAGATCTGACGCCCAGAACCGGCAACATTTGACAGAAAACACAACAGAAAGAGAAAAGAGGCGGAGCGTGTGGGGGGTCAGAGGGGCATGCGGTTTCCCTCTACGCTGATCTTCACCGCGTGTCCCGTCTTCGTCAGGCGCTTGATGTCAGCGAAGCGGCGCAGCTGTTTATCTACTCGTGACATGCCCTTCTTCATCGGACCCTGAGCGACAGAGAAGAGGAGTCACAAACACTGCAAACACAAGGAGGCTGTGGAAAACTAGTGCAAGTAATAACAAGCCCATGTAAAATAACTCAATCTTTTTTTAAATTAACAAAAAATAAATAGGAAACTATAAAAATAAAAATAAATTATATAAAAAAAGGAAAAATTATATATTTTTTTAATATATATTTTTTATATTACAAGCAAAAACAAGGCAATTAAAATGATATTTTTTAAATAAAATAAGCAAAAAAAAATCTTTATTTTTTTTATTAACAAAAAATAAATAGGTACCTATAAAAAAAGGGAAAAATTATATATATTTCTTATATTTATAAAAAACTATTATATTGCAAGCAAAAATAAGGTGATTAAAAATATATTAATATATATGATCATTTTAAATGAACAAATAATGAATAAATAGCGAACTACATGCAAAAACAAGGCAATTTAAATGATCTAATGATTAAAATACAAGCAAAAAATAAATCTTAATATTTTTTTAAATGAACAAAAAAATAAGAATAAATAGGGAACTATTACATGTAAAAAAAGGCACTTAAAATATTAATATTTTATAAATAAAAAATAGGAAACTTATTACAAGCAAAAACAAGGCAATTAAAAATATCTTAAATTTTTTTCATTAATAAAAAATAAATAGAAAACCGTTCCAAAAAAACAAAAATCGTAATTTTTTTCATTAATGAAAAAGCAAATAGTACACTATTTTTTTAAATTAACAAAAATATAGGAAACTATTACAAGTGAATACAAGACAATTAATAATATAATAAAAAGTTAAATCAACAAAAAAAAGTAAACTATTACAAGCAAATTAAAAATCTTTCTTATATAAATTCTTTTTAAAATAGGACAATATTATAAAGAATTAAATTAAAAAAAAGGAAACTATCACAAGCAAAAACAAGCCAAAAAAAATAAAAATAAAATATATATATATAAAAAAGGAAACTTTTATAGGCAAAAGTGAATCCTTTTATTTTAAATAAAATAAACAGGAAATTACTAAAAGCAAAGTCGCTTGACTTACAAACACTAAAAGAAAGATCAAGTCAGTTAGAAAGACTACTATAAAACACAACAAGCCAGTCCCTGTGAGAATCTGATAATGAACACACACTTGAAGCGCTGAGGTTTAGTGTGTCTCACACACACACACACACACACACACACACACACTCCAGTGCTCTCGTGACGGTGACTTCGTCCCGTTTATAGTAAGAAACATCCAAAACCAAGGATGGTGGAATTAGTTTCAGTAACTTTCATTAAAGGTGCAGTGTGTAATATTTAGGAGGGTCTGTTGACAGAAATGCAATATCATACACATAACTGTGTTTTCAGTGGTGTATAACGAGCTTATTTAAAGCTGCAGTCCGTATCTTTTCCTCTTTGTCGCCATCTCTCTGTTCGAAATCTGTAACTGCAGTGATTCGCGGAATTATTATCTTTACGTGGGTTGTAAATCGGCATGAAACAGCGCGGATGAACACAGTGCTTTGAGGCGAGTGCTGCTGTCAGTCACCGCGCTGTGTGGATACTGTCATACAGAATCACAGATTCACTTTTTGAAAGTTTGACCAACATAAGAATTTTCATAAGAAAATGTCTTCTGAACAAGTAAGTAACATCCATTTTTGTTCTGACCAACTAAGATAGATTTAATCAACGCGATTTGCAGCAACCGTGCAAATTATAGCCTACTTTGTTCTCAAATTGTTCATGTTAACAACATCAGCATTGCGTGACTAATGTTAAATTTAATGTGTTTTATGGTTACCTGTGTAGTTCAGAATTCATATTCTCCATAATAGCAAAACGAGAAAGGCACAACAAAGGAAACTCCATAACTGTGTGAATTAAGAACACGTACCGTTACACGATTGAACTATTGAAATGTCTTACTTGTTCAGTAGTAAAAGCCGTCTCTTCTTTCCTTCAAAACACGGAGTTCACGCACTTTTCAAAAGCCCCGCCGATGTTTAAATCCTTGTGTTCGCATGAGACGGTTTCTTTCTCTTTCTCTAGCCACCTTAAATCCGAAGTACGAAGTCTTTTGGGTTTTATAACGGCTGAATCTCCAGTTGACACTGATGATTGTTGTTTGGATCTTTCTGGATGCCATAAGTTTAATTATGTAAAGTGCTGCGAGAAAAGCCTATACATCTCTACATCTCGTCACGCGCAGTATAGCCGGCTAGCCGAAACTCCTTTATGTGTACGGGTGTGACGTCATGACGCAAAGACATGCTCGAATTTCCCGCGGAAACCCACCAGTACCACTGGAATTAAAATTATTACAAGCTAACCGTTTTGAATCTAGCTATGGCAAGCAGATAGTTTTGACCACTGCCAGAATAAGTTTTTTTTAATATAATTATTTTGGATTATTTTTAACTTAAAGTTACGGACTGCAGCTTTAATGAAGCGTTATGTTTTAATCAGCTAAGGATGAGCATTTCTCTCTACACACACACACACCGCGGGTCTCCTTACATCCACATGTTTCTACGGTGGCCCTGAGCGGACACACGCGTTTCGTCACGGTGTTGTTCTTCGTGCAGAGAAGCTGTAGCTAAAGCCAGCCAATAAAACACTGACACAATGATGAACAATCACAATAATATTCACAATTACATATCGCTTTACTGAATAATCAAGTAAACCTAATTTCTTACTTTATCTTTGTAAAGAAAGCTCATTGCTTAACTGGCTACTCTCTGCTGTCTCAGACGACGACATCACTTCCTGTCGGCCACCGTAACTTCTGTTGGGTGCGATTCACAACCTCACCGCTAGATGCCGCTAAAGATTACACACTGCAGCTGTTTGAGGACTGGTTTAAGGGCCCTATTTTAACGATCTAAGCGCTGGTCTAAAACGCCTAGTGTGTGTCTGAATCCACTTTTGCTAGTTTAACTACGGGAAAAATGGTCGGCGCTCCCGGCGCTGGTCTAAAGGGGTCGTCTCTATTCTCTTAATGAGTAACGGGTGTGTTTTGGGCGTAACGACCAATCAGAGTCTCATCTCCCGTTCCCTTTAAATGGCAGTTGCGCTCGCGCCGTGACGGATTCGCCATTTAAGACTGAACGCTTCTCTTGCGAAGAAACGGATCTGCTTGTGCGCGAGGTTAAAGCGGTGTGTGTGTGTGTGTGAGGTTCAAGCTGTGTGTGTGAGGTTCAAGCTGTGTGTGTGTGAGGTTAAAGCGCTAGCAGAACATCTACGGGACAAGCCGGATTCCACCATATCTTTATGTAAACAATAATAATCTTTTATTTGGCATGTTTGTGTGCTGCTGTGTGTCCCTGTGTGTGTAATAGGCAGAGTGTGTGTAATAGGCAGAGTGTGTGTTTGTGTGTGTGTGATAAGCAGAGTGTGTGTGTGTGTAATAAGCAGAGTGTGTGTAATAAGCAGAGTGTGTGTGTGTGTGTGTGTGATAAGCAGAGTGTGTGTGTGTGTAATAAGCAGAGTGTGTGTGTAATAGGCAGAGTGTGTGTTTGTGTGTGTGTGATAAGCAGAGTGTGTGTGTGTGTAATAAGCAGAGTGTGTGTGTAATAGGCAGAGTGTGTGTTTGTGTGTGTGTGATAAGCAGAGTGTGTGTGTGTGTAATAAGCAGAGTGTGTGTGTAATAGGCAGAGTGTGTGTTTGTGTGTGTGTGATAAGCAGAGTGTGTGTGTGTGTAATAAGCAGAGTGTGTGTAATAAGCAGAGTGTGTGTGTGTGTGTGTGTGATAAGCAGAGTGTGTGTGTGTGTAATAGGCAGAGTGTGTGTAATAAGCAGAGTGTGTGTGTGTGTGTGTGTGATAAGCAGAGTGTGTGTGTGTGTAATAAGCAGAGTGTGTGTGTAATAGGCAGAGCGAGTGTGTGTGTGTAATAAGCAAAGTGTGTGTGTAATGGTCAGAGTGTACGCACTTTGTGGACCGGCCTATAGGTGCCCATTACGAACACGCTCTTTAAATAAATAAAAAAAATTTTTACGCCATTGACTTTAGACCAGGGTTCAGTTGGTCAATGTCTCCGGAACACAATGCGCCGGAACACACACCTCGTTTTCAGACCAGCTGGATTTGCTATTAAACAACGTGACGCGGGACGTAAAAAATGATAATTGCGTCAGGCTGAAACTAGCGAAACACACTTGCGTCGCCTGGCGCTGCATTACGCCGGGTGTATGATAGCGCCCCTGGTGTTAGTTCGGGTCTCTCCTTCACTACACTGTCTCCAGTGCAGCATGCAGAGCCATGCAGACACTTACTGCCCCCTCAGGCGGGACCAGGAACTACAGGGGCATTCGGTTCCCCTCAATGCTGATTTTCACAGCACCCTGTGGGCGCCGCTGCTTTCTCTCCTCCGCAAAACGCCGTTTGTGCTTCTCCATCAGGCTGAGGCCTTTCCTTAAGCTTGTCTACCAATCACATAACAGTCAAAAAACCTCCTCCACCAATCAAATTAAAGGGGGATACTTGAGGAATATAAATGGGCAAACTCTACACATAATTTTTTTAGTCATGTAAAAAAAAACACATCTCTCCATCCTGTGCAAACTCCTCTCACTCTTGATTTGAGCAAGAGACACCTGCCAATCATTCTTCTGCACTTATGCCCCGCCCCCCACACACATGCCCCGCCCACTTACACTTCGGTTTGAGTCCCCATCCACGTTCCATTTGGGCCGGACCACGTAGTCCTTATTGGACGGCATCGGCACACGAGCCCTCGCACAAAACCCTGGGTCACCTGGCCTTAATGCCCTGAGAGAGAGATTTATTAACATTAATACAAAATAAAATGCATTATATCATTTGTATAATATATACATTTAAATAATAAAATGTTAATCATTTTCATTAAGCATTAAGATTTTTTTTTTACTATAATGTATATATTATAATTTTAAAATGCATTGTATAATTTTTACAATATAATTTTAAAATGCATTGTATAATTTTTATAATATATTTCAATATAATAAAATATTAAAATCAATCATTTTCATTAATTAGCATTAAGAAACATTAAATTAACCAAATTATATAATACATTTATTTATAAATTGTATTAGATTTTAATTATAATAAAACAATATTAAATTATAATCATTTTTATGAATTAGCAATAATACAAACATTACATTTAAAATGTTTTATATCATTTGTATAATATATAATATAATACATTAGATTTTCATAATAAAATATTTAATTATAAAAATCAGTTAGCATTAATAAAGATTGAATAACAATGAATAAATTATATAATAGTTTAAAATAATAATATTATGAATAATTTCAATATAATAAAATATTAAATTAATCCCTTTCATTAATTTGCATTAATACATATATTAAATGACTTTATAACAAATTATATTTTTACATAATTTTAAATGACAGTAATATATTAATTACATTATTATAATAAGCTATTAAATTATAATTATTATACAATTATAATATATACAATTAATAATTTGCATTACATATTAAATTATAATGAAATGCACAAATTATACAATATATATTAAACTATAATAATTTAATAGTTATTAATAATTACATTTAAACAAACTAGCTGGGATATAGTTTTTAAAAACTACAGGAAAAAAATAAATAAAAAGTGGAGATTCTCACAAAAGAAATGGAAATTATGCATAAAAGAAAATATTTTAGGACCAATACAATTTTTGCAATGTGACATTTTCATAAGATTAAGCACATTTATATAATATATTTAAATTGTAGCATATTTATAAAATGATGGTAGTGTCTATATGCTAATAAAAATAAATAAAAAACATTAAAATTGGCTTTATTATCTTTACACAAAAGTCTTGGTTTTCATCTGACTCTAGGCTTTTGGAGTGCAGAATATGTTCTTGACTGGTTGTGTGTGATTCTCCATAAAGCTTCACTAAACTACTACGAAAACTGAAACACAGAGAAACAGAAGGAAGTGTAGAGCCGTACTTCTCCTCTCCCGTCAGCACCTTCTCCAGATCTCTGCGAGGAGTCTGTCCACCAGAACTGTGGAGGAGAAACACACACACACACACACTGAGACGGAGAGCAGAGGAATCATGGGATACACTCAAGCAAACATGCGGTCAGTGTTTGAGTCGGATGCGTGTGAAGCGGATTTTGATCACATTCGCCTGAATTTGAAAACCTCAGTACACACGCACACACACAAAAATGCAGAGGCTCACATGCATTCGGTATTTAAAGAGCTCAAGATGAGAGGGAATGAAAATGGAGTGATAGAGGTCAAAGGTCAGGACCCCTAACCCGACCCCTAAACCTACCCATCACTCACACACACCCCTAAACCTACCCATCTCACACTCACCCGACCCCTAAACCTACCCATCACACACACACACACACACACACACACTAACCCGACCCCTAAATCTACCCATCACACACACACAACCCCTAAACCTACCCATCACACACACACACACACAAACACTAACCCGACCCCTAAACCTACCCATCTCACACACACACACACACACACACACACTAACCCGACCCCTAAATCTACCCATCACACACACACAACCCCTAAACCTACCCATCACACACACACACACACAAACACTAACCCGACCCCTAAACCTACCCATCTCACTCACACACACACACACACACACACACACACACACACACGACCCCTAAACCTACCCATCACACACACACACACACACACACTAACCCGACACCTAAACCTACCCATCACACACACACTAACCCGACCCCTAAACCTACCCATCACACACACACACACAAATGCAGAGACTCACATGCCTTCAGTGTTTAAAGAGCTCAAGATGAGAGGGAATGAAAATGGAGTGATAGAGGTCAAAGGTCAGGACGCATCACAGTCATCACTACTGAGACTGATAGAAAGTTTCAAGATAGAACGGACCATGATATCAAATAGAGAAGAATATGATCAAACTAAAAACTAATAGAATCTGAGAGTGAATCGATTCAGTGAATCAATTAAGAACCGATAGAACAACCTGATCCAAGTCTATTGTAGTCTCACTACAAAAGTGATTTTATCTCTGTATTTAATATACTTGTATATGGTTTCGTTTAACATTAATGACAGACAGCAGCAGGAATATTAGGCTGCCGTCACTTTAAGACCGAATGCACAGATCCAATATACTGATACACATCGGTTTTCTTTCTCAACTGACCCTTCTCAGGGAGTTTGATTGACAGGCGATCTGACCAATCATAATCCGCCATCCGCCATTTTGTCCGACAAAGCAGTCAGGAGAGTTAGTAGATTAAAATTTGAGACTGTTGAGACTGTATCATATCAAAAGTAAGCTGGTGTGTCCTGTCTGTCGGTGTCCTCTGCTCCGCGATGTATTGTTCACTGCGTGAGAACATGGTGTGTGTGAGAGCGGCTCGCTTGTCGGACATAGCAACCGTAACTAAAGGGGGCGGGGCTTTGCGGACGGTCAATCGTTTACGTTCACGTAAGTCATAAAGAGACCATTACAGAAACTTGCTTAGACGGAGATTATGATATTATTTTGCATGTGTGTGTCCGTTCAAGCGCAAATAGACTAGAAAGAGAACAAATATCGGCATAGAAAATAGAAAAGGCTCAACATCTCTTAATCGTTTAAACTGACAGGACCTAAAACACTCGCTCTACGATGGTTAAACTTTGCAATTAATCCGAGAATCACATGCGTTTCGATTCCCTACAAAGAAAATAACGACAAAGGTTTTTATCTCCGCCACTATGGCCTTAATGTCTGCCATTCTTTTTTATTTGATATTTTGTTTCCTTTGTAAAGGGCCGTACACACCAGGACGAATATCGGTGCGCGTAATTCGGCAGCGTTTTTCAACGCGTTTTTTGTGTTCACACCCAAGCGATTTTCATTGACGATGAGCCGAGCCAATTCATTTCATTCATTCCCTGGCACTAATGTAAAACAAAAATACCCCAGTACACAAAGTGGCGCTGGGCAACTTTAAGGCCTGTTCACACCGGGACGAATTTCGCGCGCGATGTTTAACGCCTCGTGACTAAACAAAGAGCGCCAATGTGAGTGTGCACACCGACACGAAATTCAGCGCAACTCCGGACCGTCCGGCCAAAATCCGGACGTATGGCCACCCTACTACACACACCGTCACGGTTTTATCCACTAACCTCTTTCCTTCATCATTATATTTGACAGGGAAGCCAAAATGCTCCCATATATGGGGATTTAAATGACGCGGGGCGTTCAAGCTACTCGCTTGTCACTCAGAAGAAGAGAGCAAATTTGTCACAATTGTCATATAGTTCTTTATGTTCCGACACCAACGAGACCAGCGGCTCTACATTCATCTTGCCTTGCATCTTCCTCAATAATGAATAAATAAATAATGGACAAATGGAGTCTTTAAACGCCTCAGATGTAAAGTTATTCGCTGTCAAAGTGACGCCAAAATGAATGGGAGTCAATGGAAATGCTAACGCAAGTGAAGTTCTGCTACAACATGGCGGCACCCGGCCGACTTCAACTTCCGGTCGATGGATTACCCCCTTGTACTTGGCGTATATCTTCTTCGCCGTTACGCATGTGTGCTCGGCAAGACCGTTTTGTGTTTGAGAGCCCCCAAGTTGTGTTTTACTGTAACTTCAGAAGCTCCAGACACGTGAGCAAAAGCGCCAATCTCATTGGTCGGATAGTTTTTGAGTGCGTCAAACCAAAAAAACGAACCCGAGGCGTTTAAAAAAAAAAAGACGCTTTTACGCGTGGCGTTTTCCGCGTCGGTGTGCACACTCACATTGGCGCCCTTTGTTTAGTCACGAGGCGTTATCGCATGCGAAATTCGTCCCGGTGTGAACAGGCCTTAAGGCTTTGTTTTTAAAATAGGGACATTAGTTTGGCTGTAATGCTCAGTCACTTGCAAAATATTAAAACTAACATGAAAAAGAAAAGTGATAAAATCATGATTTTCCTGAAAAAAAATGTTTTATTATATTTTTGCCATATCGCACACCCGTACATCAGTGTTAGAAACATTCCTGAACTTGAGACAGGCTCATGCTCTCTCTCACACACACACACACACACACACACACACACACACACACACACACACACACTGAACCTGAGCGCAGGGGCAAAGACGTTGGGCTCCTCTGGCCTCTCAGACGTCTGAGGCTCACTTACACCCACAGGAGAGGAAGAGTGACAGATGGAAGACAGATGAGGAGAACATCACTGGCTGTGTTAACATGCACAACTTCTGTTTCAATCCGACTCAATTCATTCAGTGATCGGGTTGATGTGCGCGTTTATACGTCACAAGCTTCAAATCGGGATGTTTTTTGACATGCGCTCACTGAATGAATATACAGTTTCCCGCTGTTTGTGCATAATCAGTCCCTCCAGAAAAACGTGATTATGCGATCGCATGATTCAGAGCATAATCAGCCAAAGTTTTTCCAATACGCCATGCAAAATATGCGGCTCTTGCATGATTTCATAATCCTCGCATTTTCGTTGCATAAAAAAAGTCACATATATCTTAGCAGAAAGTTGAAAAATGTTGCGTTTGCGTCACACGAGAGCCGCCGTTTCCGTTGCCATGGGAACGTTACGAAGTGACGTAATTAAGCGACGTGAACATCATCGAAAAGCTGTAAAACAGGAGCACACTTTATTTTTAAATATTCATTTTTACAGAAGTTGTAGCATATTCCTTTTGTAAAGCTACAGAACTCGTTTGACTCATCAGTGTTTTGTGAGTTTGATGTGTTTATTAAGGTCTGAAATCAAACAGGATGAGAACTGAAATATTCCAGCACTTTCTGTGATGTATACGCTTGCTTATCATAGGAAGTCATAAGAAAGGACTCTTTACATTAAGGTAGGAGCCTAGTGAGAACAGGGTGTTGGGGAATCACTTTTTCTCTTTTTCATCAAACCGCAGTTTTTGCAAGTTCCCGAAATTTCATCGCATAAAATTGCATAAATATCCCACATATTCCATCGCATTTTTAAAGAAAACGGGCCGTGTAATCAAGGGTTTTTGCCCACAACAATCACAAAAAAACTCTGCGGTTTTCTGGAAGGACTGTATAATAACTATTCTCCTACATTGCTTCTTTATTACCGTATTTTCCTCACTATAAGGCGCACTTAAAAGCCTTTAATTTTCTCAAAAAACGACAGTGCGCCTTATAATCCGGAGCGCCTTATATATGGATGGTGAACACACGTTCACCAAGACGGGGAGACAGCGCCGGGCGACTAACGCCACTATCTGCCAATGGATCGTAGATGCCCAGGCTGATATATCAGTCTCAACTGGGATCCGAGCTTTCACGAAGGCAGGAATCATCTCTTTATTCAGCCGGCTCACATACCCGTATTTACTTCCTGTTTTCGGTCGAAGTCCACAGTAGTCGATTGTCGAGTTCGTGCGCGCGCGATCAAACCTCCTCCGTGTGTTCAACATCTGATTCGGATGAACTATCCATTTGAGCTGATATTCTCAGAACACCACAAAGCACTGTCATCGGCTGACAGTCCGAGTCTCCACTGTTGCTTAGTTAGCTACCAATGATCGCGCGCGCACTCGACAATCGCCTACTGTGGACTTCGACCGAAAACAGGAAGAAAATACGGGTATGTGCAGTCAGATTCACCGTGTTCACTCACATGGCTGTGCACTTGTAATGACACATTAAGGTTGTTATAGAGGCTAAAAGCAGGTTTAAAACTTGTCCCGTTTAAGTCAACAGGGTGCAAATTTTAAAAAGAGGATAACACGGTGTAGGCAACACCGGTTTTTGTCGTTGTTATCTGTACTGACAGCACTCCAAATTTACAAAAAATGAGCTCAATGTTAAAATTGACCGGAGTTTTCCTTTAAGGTTTGAACAACGTTACCATGGGAGTGAACGGAGTTGTCAGAACGCTTAATAAGGTTTGACTTTATCTGACTGTTTTGTTGACATTTGTTGACATCTAGTGGATGCATAACGCAAACCCAGTCAAACGTTTGACTGCATATCTTATGCGCCTTATAATCCGGTGCGCCCTATATATGAAAAATGTTCTAAAATAGGTCATTCATTGAAGGTGCGCCTTATAATCCGGTGCGCCGTATAGTGCGGAAAATACGGTAGTTTTAACTATAGGATATGTTTTTGAGGATATGAACCATTGTGCCGCTGTTTATATTTATCCTGCAGTAAAAATGCCCAAAACCAGTCGTCTGTGGATGAGAGTCTGAAGCAAGCACTGGTGGGCCGGTGTCCTGCTCCACTCCACAGACTCTGAGGGAAAGGAGGACTATGTAAGGGTTAATGCCCTGCGAGGTGTCCATTATCAGGTATTAATGGGTGACGGCGAGGCGTGAGCGCATGAACCGTTGCCTCCGCCGAAGTCTATTAAAACCTGACAATGCACACCTCGTCGGGCATTAACCCGCTTATATCACGGTCACTTGCCAAATAACACATTTTTAAAACATTAGTTTATATTTTAATTAGTTTTACAATCAAAATCTAAAGTTTTTATAAACAATAACTTGGTTTCCCTGGTTACGCCTGACGGTTTATTTAGCAACCGGAGATATTTATAGTGCGCTCCGCTCGGAGAACCCTTCAGTTTAGCTCACTCACGAGCCAGAAAGCTAACGTATTTATTTTCCTGTAAGTTAGGCTTGTCTAGCCATGGGCGTTACTCTTTTGTTTTTTTTAACCTATAAGTATAGTATAATATAGTATAACGGCTAACTAGATGTTTGTTTTGATACAATAAATTGTAACCGGATACTTTGACTGCCTGTTGCTATGGTTACTCACAGCGCATTTGTTTATTAATCTCGAACGGTCAACAGTTTCACCAGAACTCCTTTACTAGGTGTCCTCTAGCACTTTATAATGGGCACCCTGCAGCCAATCAGAATCCAGTATTCACCCAGACCATGGTATAAAGAATGACGGGACACTCGTTTATAAGGCACTTTATTCAACAGGAAGAACAGCTCGTTCCTCACATCATTACGCTGTTTCTACATCCTTTCAGTTTCTGTGTTCAAACCGATCAAGTGTTTACATGTTCTCTCGATCGGATTAGAAAAGGAATAAACCACCCCTCTCAATCCGATCGAAACTTCCTTCGAATCGAGCTCAATGCGTTTACACGAAGGCCTTTCAGTGCGACCCATCCCATGGCTAACGGCTTGTGTGTGCATGAGCGTGGCCGGCGATGCAGTGCTGAGTGTTACCTGAGTCTCCGGCGCGGGGCGATCTGCTGGTCCAGGTCTCTCTGCTGTCGCTCTTCTCTCGTCATTCCCTTATAGTTCGACGTTAAGCCGAAGATGGGCCGCGACCACTCATCTGTGCACACACACACACGTCTGGTTTACTATCTTTGTGGGAACTCTCCATAGGCGTAATGGTTTTTATACTGTACAAATTGTATATTCTGTCTCTTTACACAAACCCTAAACCTACACATCACACACACACTAACCCGACCCCTAAACCTACCCATCACACACACACTAACCCGACCCCTAAACCTACCCATCACACACACACACACACACACACACACACACACACACACACACACACACACACACACTAACCCGACCCCTAAACCTACCCATTACACACACACACACACACTAACCCGACCCCTAAACCTACCCATTACACACACACACACACACACACACACACACTAACCCGACCCCTAAACCTACCCATTACACACACACACACACACACTAACCCGACCCCTAAACCTACCCATCACACACACACTAACCCGACCCCTAAACCTACCCATCACACACACACACACTAACCCCACCCCTAAATCTACCTATCACACACACACACTAACCCGACCCCTAAATCTACCCATCACACACACACACTAACCTGACCCCTAAATCTACCCATCACACACACACACTAACCCGACCCCTAAATCTACCCATCACACACACACACTAACCTGACCCCTAAATCTACCCATCACACACACACACTAACCCAAACCCTAAACCTACCCATCACACACACACACACACTAACCCGACCCCTAAATCTACCCATCACACACACACACTAACCTGACCCCTAAATCTAGCCATCACACACACATTAACCCGACCCCTAAATCTACCCATCACACACAAACACACTAACCCGACCCCTAAACCTACCCATCACACACACACACACTAACCCCACCCCTAAATCTACCCATCACACAAACACACTAACCCGACCCCTAAATCTACCCATCACACACACACACACTAACCTGACCCCTAAATCTACCCATCACACACACACACTAACCCGACCCCTAAATCTACCCATCACACACACACACACTAACCTGACCCCTAAATCTACCCATCACACACACACACTAACCCAAACCCTAAACCTACCCATCACACACACACTAACCCGACCCCTAAATCTACCCATCACACACACACACACACACACACACACACACACACACACACACACTAACCCGACCCCTAAATCTACCCATCACACACACACACTAACCTGACCCCTAAATCTAGCCATCACACACACATCACACACACACACTAACCCGACCCCTAAATCTACCCATCACACACAAACACACTAACACAAAATTTTCTGCAGTTTAACATTTTCAAAACACCCCATTCTGTATGATTTACAAGCATGTTTCCTCAGTTTAGGTCACAGTCACACGAGTCCCCATGAGTGTGTGTGCATTAAGTCCCCACCGGGATAGAGAAACATGTACACACACACACACACTACAGCAGACACACACACACTGCAGTGGAAGAGAGTTCGTACTGATGAGTTTGAGCGCGAGGTCTTTGTTGGGCCGGGACTCTTTAGGGTGTTTGTAGAGGTACATGACGGCTCGGCCGATCCCACTGAGCTTCAGTGTTTCCTGACTCACGCTGGGCAACTGGGAACACACAAGCAAAGCTCATTTATTACTACCTTCAGGATCCCTTTCTTTCTTTTTCTTTTTTTTGAACTTTTACAATCTTAACAGGACAAAGATAGGAAGATAATAATAAAAAACATTTGGTCCCCACTCCACCGCCAAATAAATAAATAAAGTAGTTGTAGTATTTGAGTTTATTGCCATATCAGCATTTAAATAAATAAATATATATACACATGTTAATATTTATTTATTTAAGCATGCATAAACTAAATAAAAATATCTATAAGCACATAAAGCAACAACTTGTGCGATGAAGTCTGTATAATGCAGTTAAACGCCCCTAAAAATCAAAATATCAGGGCAAAAAAAGCCCCTGTTGAGTTTTTGTCTCATATTTATATCATATAATATAGTTGAGCAATATCAGACGAGCAACGAGCGCAATATCACACGAGCAACGAGCGCAATATCACACGAGTACAGTTTTTGTCCCGAATAACAAGAGTGCAAATGTGATACTGATTTTATACAACAGTTCAATAAATAAGTTAACATTATGTTATATTTCAGATACAATATAATTGTCTGTTTGTGCTCAATTTTGCCAACAATATTATCTATAAAGCCAGAGGAGAGCGGTGATGCGTCTGAGCAACACACCGGCGTTTCGTTTCTGAATGAATCCGCGGTTCGAGCGAATCAATGATTCAATGACTCGTTCATAACGAAAGACATTTACTTCATTCCTGGATGAATCGCATGAATGAATGATTCAACGACTCATTTACACATTTAACGCCCCCTAATGGTAGTTTTAATTACTTAGAGTATCCTTTCATAAATTTTTTTTTTTTCATATTTCCTTACTAATAAAAAAACCCTTAAAGGCATATTTCGCCCAAAAATAAAAATTCTGCCATTGAAACCTAAAAATTTGTGTAATAAATTCTGTTGAATCAAATATTTATATCATATGAATCAATGCAATATGAATTGTTGAATAAAATTTTTTAAAAAAAATTAAATGCTTTTCTCATTTAACACAATAATGACTTTAAATGACCTTTTGGGGTTCATTTCCAAATTTGATTAGATTAATTTGCAATTAATCAGATTAAGTAATCACCACATCGTGTAATTAATTAGATTACAAATTTTTACCGATTGACAGTCCTATATATCCCCTAAAAAAAATGCATGCATTTACTCATTTTATTTACACATACATTCATCATAGGGTGTAATACAACGATGTATAGGATATATTTTGCATCTTTAGGATTAGTTGTGTGTTTAACAGACTCACTTCTTGCAGGATCTTGAGGAGTTCCTCTCGGATCTTCAGTGCTGGGAGACTCCTATCCGGGAGAGGACTGATCCACTCCTTTATGGCAGCCATCACACCGCTGTCTATAAACGTCTCCTTCAGGTCCTGCCTACACACACACACTTAATCACACTTCTATTCTTAAATCATTAAGACTATAGACTCTAAACACACACACACACACATGTTGATGCTTCAGCAAGACGAGGAAACACTCACTTCTTTAAATGCATCACCACTGTGGGGAGCAGCATGAGCTTCTTCAGAGCGGGTTTCTTTGAACTGTTTAGAGTCCGGTCCTCCTGAAACACACACACACACACTGTAAGTGTGGTACTGTAAACATGATTCCTGTCCCACTGAGGGACGAGTTATGATCATTTTCTTTGATAAATCAACAGTGTCTCACGGATACTCTCTTGACAGTAAAGGAGTAGTTCACTTCAGAATTAAAACGTCATCCAAGATGTTCATGTGTTTCTTTCTTCAGTGGAAAAGAAATGAAGGTTTTTGAGGGAAACACTCCAGATGTTTCTCCATATAGTGACTTCAATGGGGTCCAACGGGTCGAAGGTCCAGATGTGAGTTTCAGTGCAGCTTCAAAGACTCGACACGATCCAGCCGAGGAATACGAGTCTGATCGAGACAAACCAGCGGACATTTTATAACAAAGAACTTTAACTACAAATGCTCGTCTTGCACGGCCACGACTTCACGCATTATGTAATCACGTTGGAAAGACGTACGTAACCTGACGTAGGCGGAAAATGTAGGGTAGGTCGGAAAACTCAAAATCGTCTGACGTTGTTTTTTTGTGTAAATTTGTTTTTTTTGTGTAAATTTTTTGTTTTTTTTTGTGTAAATTTGTTGGGTTTTTTTTGGTGTAAATTGGTGGGGTTTTTTGGTGTAAATTTGTGTTTTTTTAATGTAAATTTGTGTTTTTTTGTGTAAATTTGTTGGTTTTTTTGTGTAATTTTTTGTTTTTTTTTGTGAAAATTTGTTTTTTGTTTTTTTGGTGTAAATTTGTTGTTTTTTTGTGTAAATTTGTTGTTTTTTTGTGTAAATTTGTTGGGTTTTTTGTGTAAATTTGTTGGGTTTTTTGTGTAAATTTGTTGGGGGGGTTTTGGTGTAAATTGGGGTTTTTTGTGTGTAAATTAGTTGGTTTTTTTGTGTAAATTTGTTGGTTTTTTTGTGTAAATTTGTTGTTTTTTTTGTGTAAATTTGTTGTTTGTGTAAATTTGTTGGTTTTTTTGTGTAAATTTGTCTTTGTTTTTTTGTGTAAATTTGTTGTTTTTTTTGTGTAAATTTGTTTTTGTTTTTTGTGTAAATTTGTTGGGGGTTTTTTGTGTAAATTTGTTGGGTTTTTTGTGTAAATTTGTTGGGGTTTTTTGTGTAAATTTGTTGTTTTTTGGTGTAAATTTGTGTTTTTTTGGTGAAAATTTGTTTTTTGTTTTTGTGTAAATTTGTTGTTTTTTTTGTGTAAATTTGTTGTTTTTTTGTGTAAATTTGTTGGGTTTTTTGTGTAAATTTGTTGGGTTTTTTTGTGTAAATTTGTTGTTGTTTTTTGGTGTAAATTTGTGTTTGTGTAAATTTGTTGTTTTTTTGTGTAAATTTGTTGTTTTTTTGTGTAAATTTGTTGTTTTTTCTGTGTAAATTTGTGTTTTTTTGTGTACATTTGTGTTTTATTTTGTGTAAATTTGTGTTTTTTTGTGTAAATTTGTTGTTTTTTTCTGTGTAAATTTGTTGTTTTTTGTGTGTAAATTTGACTTAGGGTGTTTTCACACCTGAAAGTCCGCACCAAGGTCCGAACCAAAGTTCACGATTTGATACATTTTATACTTTCAGAAAGTTTTGGTTTAGTTTCACACTGCAATTACGCGAGCGCACTAAAGAACTTTACGTGACATACGTGCGTCCTGTCGTCATCATCTATGTGGGCTGCATCTTGACATTGATTGGTTTGTAAATGGGCGTGTGTGTGACGTCAGCGTGTTGTCAATTCGGCGGGTAACTTTGACAACATGAATGAACAGACGCATATCGTTGCAACTATATTGTTATTTTTATGGCATAATTACCTGCAGCACCAGCTATACACAAGGCTAGTTCAAATTCGCCAAATGAACGTCCTCGTCGTGCCAACATTTTATCGTCGCCGGCAGGAAAGGAGGAGAAGACTGCAAGCAATCATGCGAGCTCTGGCACCTCCATTTGCGGAGAGACCAAGGTGAACTATTCCGGCTATGCGGGAACCACCAGAACTTCCTGTAAAAGGTCTGAAAGTCCGAACCATACAGAAATGCTTTCACACTAGAAACGAACCAAACCTTTGTTCAGTTTGATCCGGACCGAGACTACCTCTTTTCGTCGGACCAAATTTCCGGACCGTGGTCTTCACACCTGTAATTTTGATTCGGACCAAGCTAAAAAGTCCGAAAGTCCGGACCAAACAAGGTAGGTGTGAAAGGGCCCTTAGTCTTTGCATGTTCTCTTTGTAAACACTGGGTCGGTTCTTACGCCTACGTCACGCTTGACCTTCCAACGTGATTACGTAATGTGTGGCGCATCACAGCTAGTGCAAGACGAGCATTAGTGGTTAGAAAGTATATAAATGTTTATTTTGTTATAAAATGGCCGCTGGTTTGTCTCGATCAGACTCTTATTCCTCGGTCGAGACTTTGAAGCTGCACTGAAACTCACATCTGGACCTTCGACCCGTTGGACCCCATTGAAGTCACTATATGGAGAAACATCTGGAGTGTTTCCCTCAAAAACCTTCATTTCTTTTCCACTGAAGAAAGAAACACATGAACATCTTGGATGACGTGAGAGTAAATTATCAGGAAATTTTAATTCTGAAGTGAACTACTCCTTTAAGTTATTAATTCCCCCGAAACACACACACACCTCTGCAGCTTCTGTCATTTTGGTGATCATCGCGCTCACGACATCGTCTGCATCACTGATGAACGTTCCTCCGTCTCGATTCCGCCTGCGTTTGCCGCTCTGAGCTTTCTTACGGGCCAACATGACGTCAAAGTCTGACATGTGGGACATGCTGAAAAACACACACACACACACACACTTACATCTCCTACATGTGCAAAAACACATTCTAAACGCTTTCATTCTTACATCACTTCCTGTTTGTGGTTACTACAGTAGTCAACATTTGATCAAAACCTTTCAACAAAGTTATACATGAATTTTTAACAATAGCCGTTCTTGTCTCAGGACAACTTTGATGAACTTTCTTCTTGATCCACTTCAAATGTTGACTACTGTACATTAACGGATGGAGGGAATCACTCACTCTTTCCCGCTTCGGTCCACATCATCATCATCTGAATCCGAGTCGTTGTCCATTTCCTTCTGTCCCGAGACCTGAGTCTGCGTCCGCTCGCCCTCCAGCTCATCCTGATTAAAGCCCTGAACACACACACACACACACGACAAATGAATTATTCCCATTACATACACACAGTAGTCACATATACTATATAGCAAACCTCAGCTGCTTGACTGTTTATATCACCGTAAACTGTACTATAATACACAGCGCTACAGAAATAAATGTGACTTAAGATAATAATTCATATGCAACTCTGACGTAATTAATGGTAAAGCGAGTAATTTCACTCACTGTAAACTCCTCCTCTTCTTCATCGCCGGACTCTCCGAAGATATCTGCGATCATTTTCCTGAGGGACAGAAAGAGACGGTTACACACACACACACTCACACTCACTCTCTCTCACTCACACACTCTCTCTCACGCACACTCACTCTCTCACGCACACTCACACACACTCCCACACACTCCCACACACTCACACACACTCACACACACTCACACACACTCACACACACTCACACACACTCACACACACTCACACACACTCACACACACTCACACTCACTCACACTCACTCACACTCACTCACACTCACTCCCACACACTCCCACACACTCAGAGTGTTACGAGCACTAACTCCTCCTGATCTTCGCCGGACTCGCTGTCGCTGCCGAACAGAGCCTTCTCGTCCTTCTTCCCTGCATCCCCCTTCATCGCATCCTCCTCATCCTCACTGTCTGAGCCCAGCTCCTTTAGTTTAGCTGCTAAACTCTTATCAGGACCCCCGAAGCCTTCATCACTGCCAGAGTCTTCATCATCAGACACCAGCCTGCTCCTCTTCACCTCTACAGAGTCACAACCATCATCACCATCATCATCATCATCATCATCATCATCAGATGACATCATACAGTGAGTGTTAATGACAGACAGTACCTTTCTCTTCATCTTCCTCACTGTCTGACAGAACGGCCTTCTTCCTCTTCACTGGAAGACAATTCACAAATAACGTGATCACTGATAGATTATGAATTTATTATAAACTAGTAATTATAGTTATTAGACTAGAATAATAATATTGTAAACAATAACATTAAAATTGTATTACTAATAGTATAAATAATTCTGTATTTGTGGTATGTAATTATTAATAATATATAATACAATAGTGTATTATAATTAGATTATATTAGCATTACAAATATAATTTTATATTTAAGATACTAATCATAACAAATTATTATATATATATATATATATATATATATATATATATATATATATATTAGTGCTGTCAAACGATTAAAATATTTAATCGCGATTAATCGCATTAATGTCATAGTTAACTCGCGATTAATCGCATTTAATCACACATTTTTATCTATTCTAAATGTCTCTTGATTTCTTTTTGTCCCATTATTTTTTTCTCATTTTAATGCTCTTATCAACATGGAAAAGTGGATCGGCTTGCTTTGTGCAAATGTTTTTTATTGAAAACAATATTGGCATATACTGTTCAATTTCACACTAAAACATTATCACTTGGAGCAAATAATCTCTCACACAATATAACACTGTCCATCAATAAAAGGGTGAAATAAATATTGACGAGAGATTGAGATTTATGCGGAGAACTCGCATCAGCTGTGTGTGTGTGTGTGTGTGTGTGCTGGCCATCATCAAGTGGTATTCAGACTGGACGTGCTGCGATGATGATAGCTCAGTTCACAACGACAAAACACACAGATCACTTTGGTCTTGTCAATGGAACCATTTGGCAACTTTTTAAAAGTAAACTTTCCATTCAGAATCTTATTGGCATCCATTTCGGCGTCTCACGCTCGTCATCCACTCAAAACTGGACGTTTTGAACGTTCCTATAACATTCAGAAATAACGTTTTTATAACTTAATGGGAACGTTATGAAAACATTCTTATAACCTAAAATTGTTAGCTGGGGAAGAGGAGAGATTCGCGATTGCACTGAACACGTTTTAAGTGCAGGCATGTTCTCTGAGCGAGCCCAGAGAAAATTCTTACAAGAGCAGCGTGTATCTGAGAGCGCGCGCGACTCGAGCAGAGAGATTCGTGCTCGGCACATTATATTCCGCGCGCGAGCAGAGAGATTCGCGCTCGCGCATCCGGCTCGCAAGCCCAAACAAGTGTGTGCAGCGTGCCTGTTGTTTTGTTTCCGGTCTAGCTAGATCCGCTTGCGCTTTCAAAACGTCCTCGCGCGCCGCAAGCCATTGAAATGAATGGGTTTCATAGCGCAGCGGCCCGCATGCCGTCCTGTTGCAAAAGCATGTGAAAAAAAAACCTACAAAGTTTGCTAGGGCAAAAAGACCGTTAATCGCGCAATAAAAAAATTAACGCCGTTAAAATGGGTTTGCGTTAACGCCGTTAATAACGCGTTTAACTGACAGCCCTATATATATATATATATATATATATATATATATATATATATATATATATATATATAATTATAATAATAAATTAGATTTAGATTATAATTATAATGATTTAGATTATAATCAACATAATACTACTAATTATATATATATCATATTATAATCTGATTACATTAGCATTATAAATATATTAATAGTAGTATAATCAAGATTAATCATAATATAATTTAATCTATAATTGTATTACATAGTCTAATTATAATAACATTATAATAAAATTATGAATACATTAATATCATATTTGTTTTAATATATATATATATATATATATATATATATATATATATATATATATATATATATAATAAAAAAATATATATTGATGTATTGATAATTTTATTATAATGTTATTATAATTAGACTATGTAATCAAATATAATAATAAATAAAATAAAAATATATATACACACACAAAAAGCAGCCTATAGTAAGTACCATTATAAGTATAATATTAATATAACTATAAATAATCATATGTATATTATACATACACATCTATATACATATATAAAAAACTTGTTTCATTATCCTTTTTAATAAGTAGTAAACAAACATACCAGGCTTCTCCTCCTCTTCATCATCATCATCACTAGCCAGAGCTCGTCGTTTGGGCCCTTCATCTTCATCACTTCCCGCCTCCTCTTTTGGCCTCTCCTCCTCTTCCTCACTGTCTGAGTTCATCACAGCTTTCCACTTGCCCGTCTCCTTCCTCCCTCCCTCCTCCTCCTCCTCTTCCTCAGCATCAGAGTCTCTCTGAGTTTTCTGTTTGGGTTTGTCCTCGTCTGAATCGCTGCCCGCATCTGATTTCGGGCTGTTTCTCTTCTCGGGTTCCTCCCGGTCGGAGTGCGTTTTCTCCTCCTCTTCCTCGTCGTTCTCAGAGGTGCTCGCTCTTCGCTTCACAGGGGATCTGCCCTCCTCTTCCTCATCGCTGTCTGCAGGACGGGGCGGCTCGGGCTCTGAATCGCTCCCGTCTCCGGCTCCTCTTCCACGGGCCTCGTGATCCGAACTACTGTCTGCGTTCTCAGACTTCCTATCGTGTGCGGCGTCCTCGTTATCACTGCCATCATCCTGCGTGACAATCAGGAAATTAACATCTGTAATATGAACACAACTGGAATCAAGCACAAACATCAGATCCAAACTCACGTCAGACTGTCGTGATCCGGGTCTCGCGTCTTCCTGCTCGTCCTGAACGGGAGTAGCGCTGCCATCATCTGAGCAAACACACATTCACAGTCTCAGTTCAAGCTACAAACATTCACAAAAGTGCATATCACAATCTTACAACAAACAATCCTGATCTGAATCACGATCTTCCCAATTTTGAGATGTACTGTGGAGAATATCCATAAGCCTTTGAACTGATCTATTTGCTCAACTTAAAGGTGCATTGCGCAACTTTTCATGTTAAAAATACCTGTTTTTCTATCCTATACATGCTTAAAGAACTGCCTGATGGGCTGAATGAGCCCTTCTCTGCGCACTGAGATTGCCTCTATAATCCTGTACAGTAACATATATAAGAGGGATTCGGGCTCGAATTTGAGACTGGGCGTGACTTCATGCGCGTTCACGCCAGTGTTGGGGAAGCTACTTTGAAACTGTAGTTTGACAAGCTACTCGCTACTCGTAAGTTAAAGTAGTTAAACTACAGTCAAGCTACCCTTTTGGAAAAGTAGTTAGCTACACTACAAGTTACGATCAAAAAGTAGCAAGCTACATTGAAACTACTTTTGCTTTTTTTGAACAACATATATTATAAATAACTGAATAAGTGTCTGAGGAATGTTTTAAGTAAAATATTTAGTGTTTAAAACAATGCAATACAATTATGATTTTTATTGTTTTATTACACACAACACTAAAATATCTCAGACTGTTTGTCAAAAGTGCAAAATTGCAACAAATACACCATTGCAAGAACAAAATATACATCCAACGTAAATTGCATGTATAGACTTTTTCTCAAAAATACTGATTGTGAGATGGTTGCATTTTGGCAAGAAAATACATTGAACAACCGCTCACATGTGGCACTGACAATGCACGTTAAACTCGCTCACATGCAGTGATGGAGCTCGCAGAATTTACTGTGAAAGAAGAACCTGAATCACAAGCTGCTTGTGAGCACAGTTCGGTTCGCTCTGGATCCAGTCACAACAAATCTGTACACAAATTTAATTAGTTTTTTTATCGCACGACAAAGGCTCTAAGATTACATTTTTTGTTCAACTGACAAACACGATGACGCAAACTTTAGTGGTCTTTTATGTTCATTACCAAACTGGCGGACAGATCATGGCGGTTCAATGTAATTAAATCAGAAATAGAAATTTGATGTAACAGAGAGCAACAAAGCAGGATAATTAATACATTTAAAATGGCCATTAATCACCTGTATGTGCGTCCTTACATTTTGGCTTGAGGTCTTCTGTACGCCAGTGAACCGTTAGCCGCAAGATGCGTGATTAAACAACAGGTGGCGGTAATGGCAAAAAAATGAGTTTGTAATCTAACAAGAAGAAGAATATCCTTGCATCGCGCTGATTCGCGCAGGCGTGGCTCAGGCTCAACAACACGCAATGTAGCTTTTGCTCGCGCTACACCGCTACTTGCTGCAAAAAGTAGTTAGCTACTGGAACAGCTACACTGTTTAAAAAGCAACTGCGCTACTGCCAAGCTACTGAAAAATGTAGTTAAGTTAGTAGCATCGCTACTTGTAGTTAACAACTCCCCAACACTGGTTCACGCTCACCAGGCTATGTCTCGCAGGTTTGTGTATTCGCCGGCGCCGCCATTCTCCGCATCAGCGAAGACAACTCGTGCGTCAAAGGTAGAAGATGGATTCAAAGAGACCGGCTTGCAGTCCATTCCAAACCCCAACGCAAACTCCACGTAAAGTAAAGAAAAGAAAAATTGTGTCTAGTGCCACCAAAAGGTCCAAATTGAAGTCAGACAGGCGTCGGAGTAAGACTTGAGTCAACCTCGGGAAATGGAGAGATCTCCGGTCTGCTCTTGGTCTCAAACGGGATCCTCAGTTGGCTTTTTTTCTTGATAAAACGGAAAGATATAGCCCAGTCTCTAATGTCTGATACGGCCAATCTATGACAACAAATGACGATGCGTAAAATGTGTAATGCTTTAGCGTAAGCCAGATAAATGTACAATCAGAATTAGTTGCAGTTTCGCTTGTCGCCAGAGGGGGCGTAGTTCTGCAAAAACTCAGAGACTTGCGTTTTGCACCTTTAAAACACAGTGTTGCATTAAACAATCAGTCATCAAAATAGTCATTAAACCCGGAGTTAAACGTTAAAACACTGTATGAATTACATATACACTGATTCTTATTAAAGCTGCTACAGTTGTTCAGTCGAGAGCAGTGAGTGATTTTGTCTTTAATAATGACAGATAGCAGCAGGTTTGCATTTAATGCACGGATCTAATATAACGATACACATCTGATTTCTTTCCCAACTGTTTATTCACTTCAGACATAACAGACTGTCTTATGTAAATACTCGCAAATATGGATATTCAACATATTTGTGTGTATATTTCAGTGTTTAGGTGCGGCTGAAACCCCAAGTACACTTTGCTCGTCCGTGTTTCGCTCTGTCTCACACACACACACAAAGCGTGTAGAAATCTCAGTTTAATGCGCTTTAATTCATGTCTGAGTGCATTTCACGTTACATGATTTGCACATTAAGTTTAGGCTTTTTAGGAGGGGCGAAAGCACACGGCTTTAAAGGAAAGAAACGGCATGTGGCACAATGACCATTTTATCTTGATTATCACGTTTTCATAATCGTTGGAAGGCAAAATCGAAACTCAAACTAAAATTTGATTCATCTGTTGAATTTTTCTTTTTTCTTATAACCCTTAAATGTATGAATGTTGTTTCGCCAATCATTATTACATATTCTGGTCTTTAGCGACCCGAATCTATATCTGACACAGATGGACCTCTACCTGTCGCGATAACATAAAACTCTCCAGATATTAGAGAAACAATTGCAGAAGAATTAAATAAAGGATATTTAGGAAGGGTTCAGTTAGAAAAGTGATGATGGTATAAAACATCTGCTCATTGTCAGAGCTCATTTCTACGGAAGCGTATTGCATTCACCTGAGGAAAAAAAATCTACTCTGTTTTTCTGAATTAACGAGTTAATTATCTCAGAATTACGAGATAATTTTTCATGGAAAAAAGTTTCTGCTCTGTTTTTCTGAATTAACGAGTTAATTATCTCAGAATTACGAGATGATTTTTCATGGAAAAAAGTTTTTGCTCTGTTTTTCTGAATTAACGAGTTAATTATCTCAGAATTACGAGATACATTTTTCTTAAAAAAAAAATTTTTCACTCTGTTTTTATGAATTAATGAGTTACTCATAATTTTTAGATAATTAAGTCATTAATTCAGAAAAACAGAGTAAAAACTTCTTTCCATGAAAAATTCTCTCGTAATTCTGAGATAATTAACTCGTTAATTCAGAAAAACAGAGCAAAAACTTTTTTTCCATGAAAAATTCTCTCGTAATTCTGAGATAATTAACTCGTTAATTCAGAAAAACAGAGCAAAAACTTTTTTCCCATGAAAAATTCTCTCGTAATTCTGAGATAATTAACTCGTTAATTCAGAAAAACAGAGCAAAAACTTTTTTCCCATTAAAAATGATCTCGTAATTCTGAGATAATTAACTCGTTAATTCAGAAAAACAGAGCAAAAACTTTTTTCCATGAAAAATTATCTCGTAATTCTGAGATAATTAACTCGTTAATTCAGAAAAACAGAGCAAAAACTTTTTTCCCATGAAAAATCATCTCGTAATTCTGAGATAATTAACTCGTTAATTCAGAAAAAGAGAGCAAAAACTTTTTTCCATGAAAAATCATCTCGTAATTCTGAGATAATTAACTCGTTAATTCAGAAAAAGAGCAAAAACTTTTTTCCATGAAAAATCATCTCGTAATTCTGAGATAATTAACTCGTTAATTCAGAAAAACAGTAGATTTTTTTTCCTCAAGTGAATGCAATACGCTTCCGTACATTTCCTCAGTACATTCAGCATCTCAAAAAACAATACTCAAATCTATAATTTTCAAAATCAATATTTTGACAGCTAACAGCTTCTTTCCCAGATCCATCATCAAGTGACAGTAATATCTGACTGCGTTCAGTACTTGCTCTGCAGTAAAACACAGAGCCATTTCAGGTTTTACTGATAACACTTCCTATTCTTTTGTTTTCTGTTCACATGATATAATCACAGATTCATCTTGTGGCATTGATTTGTGGCATATCTAAAATAAAATTAAAAATCTGCTGTAGGGCTGCACAATATATCGAAACTATCGAAATATCACGATATGCATATCGCAACGGCTTGCAATAACTGGGGTCACGAACAAAAGATAAAGAGAAAATCACTCACTGCTCTCGGCTGAATAACTTTTGTAGCTTTAATAAGAATCAGAATTCTATACATATTTAATTCATAGAGTGAAAACTAAGCCGTGTTTTATTTATTACATTTGATTATTCAGTTTCTGTTGTTAAATAACCCTAATGTAGGGCTTCCTGAAACCCTAAATGTTGTTTTCTTGTCACAAAAAGAATGTGAAACACGTATCTTTTTTTTTTTTAAGTTTATTTTACACACTTTAAGCATTATCGTATCGCATTACTTAATGAGTTATCGCATTTTTCTTCAATATCGTGCAGCCCTAATCAGTTTTATGATATACAGTATGATCACATAATACACACATCATGTATTACGATATGATAAGGACTTTACATATACTACCACTAATAAAATAAGAGTAAGCCACTTAAGTAATATCATCAGTGATATGTTACAGTATCACTGAAGTGTTTTTCTAAGGTCCTCAAAGAATACCATGGTGCTTTTACAATGTAATGCATGTTTATCATATTCATACACCAAGGTATTTAAAAAATGACATGGCATTACCATAGTACTTGTCCAAGAAAACATGAAAATAATTTAGTACGTGGACGAATTATATGGTAATGCATGTGTACTATACTCAAAACACCATGATATACTAGGAATACCATGGTGTTTACTGTTTACCATAGTACATGTCAAAAAAACATTAAGGTACTTTGAATAATTATATGGTAATACATGTGTACTACACTCAAACACCATGATATACTAAGATTGGCATGATGTTATGTCCATATGCATGGCATTCCTATGGTACATGTCCAAAAAAACATGAAAATATCATTGTACTTTGATTAATTAAATGGTAATGATTGTGTACTACACTCAAACACCGAGCTATGCTAAGAATACATAGGTATTACCATAGTGCATGTCCAAAAAACATGAATATATCATGGTACTTTGATGAATTATATGGTAATGCTTGTGTACTATACTCAAACGCCATGCTATGCTAAGAATACCATGATGTTAGCATGTTAGTGTTTCGTAATAGTCTGGAATCAAAACAGTGTGTTCTGGTTGTACCTGAGCGGATCTCCTCGTCTCCATCCATCTGGACGGAACCGCGCTTCTTCAGTTTCACTTGAACACACACTCTCACACACACACACACACACAAACGAATAACAACAATACACCCAGAACAGAGTCTGGAGTGATGTCAGATCCGCGCCGGTACCGCAGTATCAGAAACCGGATCTTCTGTTGACCCGCGGAAATCTTCTATATGTCCGAGTCTTTAACATGGGCTCTTATTAATTATACTATCGACGTATTACTGATGGTCAATAACTGTCCGTGTTTTCCATTCTTCCTCTAAAATGGTGGTGTCGCCGCGCAATGAACGCATGCGTGTGTGCGCCCCGGCGCTTTGAAATTACGTCAGTCAAAACGTCATCATTTCAGGGGCGGGGCATAGCAAGCGCGCGGGGTTTTATTTCTCGTCAAATTAACATCTAATTACAAATCAAATATATTTCCATTTCATAGAGTGTTTATTACGAAGATTGCACGTTCGTTCGATTGATTTCTTATAGAATAGCTAAAATATTTAATAGTGATTGTTAGCATTTCGGGTAATTTGCCAACTTCTGATTTAAAAAAACAAACATTTCATGTCTTTTGAGACTCGTGATTGTTTACATTTATATTAGGGCTGTCAAATGATTAATCGTGATTAATCACATCCAAAATAAAAGTTTTTTTTACATAATATATGTGGGTGCACTGTGTATAATTATTTTATATATATAAATACACACACATGCTTGTATATATTTAAGAAATATTTTCATGTATATACTGTATATAGATTTATATATAATTTATATTATATATAAATATAAATATTTTATATATAAATATTTTTTTCTTAAATATACATGCATGTGTGTGTATTTATTTATATACAAAATAATTATACACAGTGCACCCACATATATTATGTAAAAAAAAACTTTTATTTTGGATGTGATTAATCGTGATTAATCATTTGACAGCCCTAATTTATATATAAACATTTTATATAGTTGTTATTTTTATTTTATTCAGTGTGCTTGTCAATATGAAATGAATTGATAAAGTATATAAATAAATAAAATATATTAACAAAACAAAAAAAATCAAGTCTGATGGGTTTTTTTATTTTGGGAAAATATTGTATAGATAAGTGAAGATATAATAAGTTGTTTCAATTATGGATGTTAAACTTTAATTTCTACTTCTTATAGAAATGTTTTTCCCAATGTGAAATATTTTCTCTGATATATATTCAGCTATTTACTATTTTGTACTGTAACATCAAAATAATGAAAAAATGCAGAGACAAACATATATTTTGTAGATATTTTTTAATGTTCTTTTTTAAATAAATGTTATTTCAAAGTTTTAAAAAACCCAACAGTCACTAATAGAATGTTCAGCGCATTCCTTCTCAAGCCAGTGATGATGCGATTGCCTATGACGTCATAAAGGCGTCTGGAGACCTGCTGATGTCATAATGACCGGCCTGTCTCTGGATCACGGTACAAAAACAACATTCTTATCCTTCAGGAAATACAGATGTCGTTCTTTATGGATGACGTATTACCAAGATGAAATGTTGGAGCTCAAGCTTATTCCATAAGTGGAAGAAACAATGAGTTTTCTATTGTGTTCTTAAAAAAAAAAAAAAAAAAAAAAAAAACAGGACTCGTGTATTTTTATGTCTATGTCATAACCAGACAGAACATTTCAATAGTTAAATAGCTTGTTTATTATTATAGAATAAGACACAGATTTTTAAGACATCAACATTGATATTCATATATTGTGTATCACATTATATTACTTGTTATAACTGTTTATGTATGTATTTTTATTCAGTGTGCATTTACAGTCAACATGAAACACATTACTGGATACTCAAGACAAAAGAAGCTCTTACACTTTACAATAAGGTTAAGTTATTAACTAACAATGCTGCAGTATTTATTAATCTCAGTTCATGCTAATTTCAACATTTACTTATAGTTTTATCGGTTAACATTTATCATTGCACTGTGATTTAACATGAACAGCTGTATTTTTATTAACTAATGTTATCAAAGATGAATAAACACTGTAACAAATGTATTGCTCATGGTAAGTTCATGTTAGTTAATGCATTAACGAATGTTAACAAATGAAACCTTATTGTAAAGTGTTACCAATATTATTAACAGATACAACTATTGATTTAAATAATGTTGAAATGAACATAAACTAAGATTAATAAATGCTTTAGAAGTTACAGTACATGTTAACTAATGTAGTTAACATATGGAAGTGTTACCCAATAAATCTGAGACATGATTTGATTGTTTGGATGATGAAAAAAAGTGTCATTTGACAGGAGATTATGACATATAAAGCATTAGAGATGTGAGCCGAAGTGAACGATGTTCTGTAGGAAGTGCAAGTTATGAAATATTGCTGAAGTGTGACTAGCGCGCACTGATGAATCCTGCAGGAACATGCGTTAACCCTCTGCTCATCTTCTTTTAGGGCTCACATTTGGCTCCTTCTCGGTCAAAAGTGACTGAACCTTCAATGTAACCTTTTTTTTCCTAGGAAAATCAATATAATATATTTTTGTTCGATAATTTTTTTTTATGATTATTTAGAATTTTGAGGGGATTTTATGACACTATGCAATATTTATTATTGAGATATTTTGTCCATTAGAATAAACTTTTTGGTTGTTATTTTTCAATAAAAGCAATATTTCACATTAAAACAGACTGAAGGCCTCTAAAATCTTTTTTTTTTTTTTTTTTTTTTTAAAGTAAGATAGTTTTTAAAAGTAATGTTGTGCAACAACCTATAGCTTCCTATATAAATATATATAGAGGCTTTTGGATTCCCGTTGTTTTTTTAGACATAATTTCTTACTTTTATTAGGTTTTGCATTTAGATATATACAGGTGAAACTCAGAAAATTAGAATATCGTGCAAAAGTTTATTTATTTCAGTAATTCAACTTAAAAGGTGAAACTAATATATTATATAGACTCATTACATGCAAAGTGAGATATTTCAAGCCTTTATTTGTCATAATGTTAATGATTATAGCTTACAGATATGAAAACCTTTTCACAATATTCTAGTTTTGAATTTGGGGTTTTCATAAACTATAAGCCATAATCATCAAAATCATAACAAATAAAGGCTTGAAATATCTCACTTTGCATGTAATGAGTCTATATAATATATTAGTTTCACCTTTTAAGTTGAATTACTGAAATAAATGAACTTTTGCACTTTTGCAATGAATTTCACCTGTATTTAGACATTCTAAAAGACTCACTTTTGTCAAGGTTTAGATATTTCCTTTAGATAGATGTCAGATTTTGCATTATGATTGCAATCAATCATTAACATTTGTGCACAAAAGTGCACTAGAATTATCACTATCCATTCCTTATTTTATTAGATTTGTTTATCAAATACTGCATAACAAAAATGCTTTCCATGTGTTATCAGCATTTTTGTTATGCAGTATTTGATAAAAAAATCGAATAAAATAAGGAATGGATAGTGATAATTCTAGTGCACGTTTGTTCTGCACAGTGGCTGATTAGTAGTTTGTACCACCAAAAAGATTTTCTGAGTTTTCGTATTTTTTTGTATTTCCCATTCATTTCCTATGTCGGTCATTTTTGACCGTGAAAGAGCCAAGTGTGATTTTTTTTTTTTTGTTGACCCTTTAAAGGGTTAGTTCACCCCAAAATGAAAACTGTCAGTAATGACTCTCCCTCATGTTGTTCAACCTCGTAAGACTTTCGTTCATCTTCGTTCACAAATTAAGATATTTCTGATTAAATCTGAGAGCTGGATCACTCCTCCATAGGCTTCTATGTTATTGAAACTTGCCGGCCCTGAAAAGTTAGTAAAGACATCGTTAAAATAGTCCGAGTGACTACAGTGGCTCAACCTTAAGTTTATCAAGCGACGAGAATACTTTTTGAGCGCAAAAAACAAACAAAAATAACGACTTTATTCAACTATTCATTTCCTTCTCTGTTGGCCTCGAGATTTCACGTAGTGTAACAGCGCAGCGCTTCTGGGTTGTTGGTAATACAGTTGAATAAAGTTGTAATATAGTTGAATAAAGTCGTTATTTTTGTTTGTTTTTTGCGCTCAAAAAGTATTCTCGTCGCTTGATAAACTTAAGGTTGAGCCACTGTAGTCACTCGGACTATTTTAACGATGTCTTTACTAACTTTTCAGGGCCGGCAAGTTTCAATAACATAGAAGCCTATGGAGGAGTGATCCAGCTCTCAGATTTAATAAAAAATATCTTAATTTGTGTTCTGAAGATGAACGAACGTCTTACGGGGTTGAACAACATGAGGGAGAGTAATTACTGACAGAGTTTACATTTTGGGGTGAACTATCCCTTTAATATATCTGAATCATGTTCATTATTTTTTGTGTGTGTTTACATAGCTAAAGTGTCACCGAAATCTGATGAAGCAAAATGTTTCTGTATTTTTTCCGACCGAAGAGACCCAGAGGGGAAAGTAAGGTCACTTTTGGTTTCATGTTGACTTATCCTAAACAACCACTGTATTTACTGCAAGTTCAGTGTAGTACAACCTGCGTATTTCACTGCAGCACAATATAAAATAGTTCACAAACGTACGTGTCAAAAGCCTTCAGTAAAACCAACAGAGCACGAGTCAGTTCATATGTGTGGATGAAATGAGTCGGACCGGAAACACACTCATTAAAACAGTCACATTGATGCTCACACACACACTCAGAGTCACATTAAGAGTTGTAACATTAAGATTTGCGTTTTGTTCCCTTGTCCCATAGTGCATCAGCGTGACCTCTGACCTCACGTGACCCATGACTAGCTTTTCTCGTCTTCGTCCTCACAGCTGCGGACGAACTGACGGCGAGAGAGTTTCTCGGGGTCGTGTGACGCCATGTTACTGAAATCACGGAAAATATCCTGGAATGTTTCATCGTCTCCTGAGGAAAAGCCAGAGAAGAGTTTTTATTTGTTGTTGTTGGCAAAGATTCACTACAAACTGAACTTGACATAAAGTAACAGTCAAAAGTTCGGAATAATTAGGATATCTTGAAAAGAGTCTCTTCTGCTCACCAGGGCTGCATTTATTTGACCAAAAATACAGTAAAAATTCTGAAATATTATTACAATTTTAAATAACTGTTTTCTATGTGAATATATAATAAAGTGTAATTTATTCCTGTGATCAAAGCTGTATTTTCAACATCATTACTCCAGTCTTCAGTGTCACATGATCCTTCACAAATCACTCTAATATGATGATCTCATCTGATGCTCAAGAAACATTTATAATTATTATCAGTGTTGAAAACGGTTCAAATTTATGTGGTTCACTATCATTCAAAAGTTCGAGATATGTCAGATTTTAAAAAATAAAGAAAATGTATTTAGCAAGCATGCATTTAACTGACCAAAAGTGACAGTAAAGACATTTATAAAGATATCATAGAATATAATAATTAAGATCTAGTTCGTCCTAATGTAACTGACGGCATCTCCTTTTTAAATGTTTTACATTTTAATTAAAATTACAATTATCTAATTATTTTAATTATAAAATAACACTTTAGTTACATTATTCAGCAAGGACGTATTAAATTGATCAAAAGTGACAATAAAGACATTTATAATGTTACAAAAGATTATATTTCAAATAAATGCTGTTCTTTTAGAACTTTCTATTCATATTAATTAATACTTATTAATACTAAATCTTACCAACAGATCCGAAGAATCCCTCTGAATCCCTCATTTCCTCATTCATTCGGGCCATTCTCAACCTGAAACACACACACACTGCATTATTATGATTTCTAACACACACACACACACACACACACAGACTGATTACTCACAAAGTGACGATGTCAGCGTGGGCGGTTTCTATGGCGATACTGAGTGGATCGTTTCCCTTTTCGTCAGCTGCATACTGATTGGCTCCTCTCTTGAGCAGCAGACACACCTGTCTGAAGTGACCAATCACAGATTATTATCATCATTAGACATCAGTCACGATAAGTGTGTGATCGAGACATGATGTTTGGTACCCGGTGTGTCCGTATGTGGCGGCGGCGTGAAGAGCGCCCTGACCGTGCTGATCTCTGTGATTCACATTAGAGCCGTTCTGTAGCAGAAACTCACACGCCAGCAGAGAGCCCTGCCACACACACACACATCACTGAAGACCAGAATCACACGCATTTAAAGGGATAGTTCACCCAAAAAATGAAAATTAGCCCATGATTTACTCACCCTGAAGCCATCCTAGCTGACTTTCTTCTTTCCATATAAGTGCATATCCATTATAAAAGTGCATCTTTCCATCATAAAAGTGCATCTATCCATCATAAAAGTGCATCCATCCATCATAAAAGTGCATCCATCCATCATAAAAGTGCATCTATCCATCATAAAAGTGCATCCGTCCATCATAAAAGTGCATTCATCCATCATAAAAGTGCATCTATCCATCATAAAAGTGCATCCGTCCATCATAAAAGTGCATCTATCCATGATAAAAGTGCATCTATCCATGATAAAAGTGCATCCATCCATCATAAAAGTGCATCTATCCATCGTAAAAGTGCATCTTTCCATCATAAAAGTGCATCTATCCATCATAAAAGTGCATCTATCCATCATAAAAGTGCATCTATCCATCATAAAAGTGCATCCGTCCATCATAAAAGTGCATCCGTCCATCGTAAAAGTGCATCTATCCATCGTAAAAGTGCATCTATCCATCATAAAAGTGCATCTATCCATCATAAAAGTGCATCTATCCATCATAAAAGTGCATCCGTCCATCATAAAAGAGCATCCATCCATGATAAAAGTGCATCTATCCATCATAAAAGTGCATCTTTCCATCATAAAAGTGCATCTTTCCATCATAAAAGTGCATCTATCCATCATAAAAGTGCATCTATCCATCATAAAAGTGCATCTGTCCATCATAAAAGTGCATCTATCCATCATAAAAGTACATCTGTCCATCATAAAAGTGCATCTATCCATCATAAAAGTGCATCTATCCATCATAAAAGTGCATCCATCCATCATAAAAGTGCATCTATCCATCATAAAAGTGCATCTGTCCATCATAAAAGTGCATCTATCCATCATAAAAGTGCATCTATCCATCATAAAAGTGCATCTGTCCATCATAAAAGTGCATCTATCCATGATAAAAGTGCATCTATCCATCATAAAAGTGCATCTATCCATCATAAAAGTGCATCCATCCATCATAAAAGTGCATCTATCCATCATAAAAGTGCATCTGTCCATCATAAAAGTGCATCTATCCATCATAAAAGTGCATCTATCCATCATAAAAGTGCATCTGTCCATCATAAAAGTGCATCTGTCCATCATAAAAGTGCATCTATCCATCATAAAAGTACATCTGTCCATCATAAAAGTGCATCTATCCATCATAAAAGTGCATCTATCCATCATAAAAGTGCATCCATCCATCATAAAAGTGCATCTAACCATCGTAAAAGTGCATCTTTCCATCATAAAAGTGCATCTATCCATCATAAAAGTGCATCTATCCATCATAAAAGTGCATCTATCCATCATAATTTATTAATATAACTCTGATTGTGTTCGTTTGAAAGAAGAAAGTAATATACTCCTAGAATGGCTTCTGGGTGAGTAAATCATCCCTTTAACAACCTTCAGACTCCAGGAGGCCGCTGTCACTCACCCCGATGGCTGAACCAATCAGAGCCGTCCGGCCCTCCCGCTCAGGATCACTCCAGTTCACTTCCGCACCCTCGGCCAGCGCCGTCGCCATGGCAACGAGGTGCCCGTTCAGCGACGCCTGATACAGCCTCTCTCCGGCACGCGGCTTTGCTGATGCTAGACGTCCAGAAGAAACGTGTGTTCTTACGCTGTGTCCTAATTATCGTTCACTGCTAATTAATACATTCATTTGAATTATAAAATAATTATTTTATAAATAAATTTTAATAATTTAACTGTAGAATATATTATAAAATATTTGAATTAACATTTTAATTAAAATAATGTTATGTCTTAATTATGTTTTAATTAATTCAAATTATAGTATTTTATTAAAATTATTTAAAATCTTAAATATCATTACACTGCTAATTAATACATTAATTTATAAAGACAAAATAATTAAATTAAAATAATGTAAGTTTTAATTAATTAAAATAATTGCTTTTAAATTGTATTTTATATTAAATTAAATAATGTTTGTATTAAATTATATTTTATATTACATGCAATTATACTATATTTTATGTTAAATTAAATTGTATTGTATACAATTATATAATTACTTTAATTATATAATTACTTTAATTATAAAATAAAACTTTAATCAAAATAATTACATTTAAAATGTCAATAATTTAAATTAAATCAATTAAAATAAAATATTTTAATTAACAATTAAAATAATTATAATATTTAATTATTATTTAATAAATTAAAATTAAATTATTTTAATTATAATAATAATTTTAAATGAAGTTATTTTAATGCTAAAATAATTATTTTTAATCAAAAGAACAGGTGTTTTATATATTAAAAATAATATTTATAAAAAGATAAACAGCACCAACACACTCACCAGCCTCAGGACCATCAGGATCCCGCGACACGAATCTTTTCTCCACATACTTGAGCCGAATCCACTGTTCTTTATCCTGCCTGAGAGAGGCAGTGACGATGATCATGAATACATTCAAAGCTCTTAATATTCCAACATGTGTGTGTGAAACACACTTCCTGTTTGTGGTGTGTGAGAGACTCGTACCGTGGACTGCCTGCGCTGGGCTTCTGTAGTCCATCTATCGGGTTACGCTCATAAATGCCATTAATGACTTCATTACCCAGAACACATAGCAGCTGTGAAGGGGGCGGAGTTAAACAAAGATCAACCAATAGCAAAACAGAAGCATAACTGGCCGAGCTCAGATGCAGATGAGATTAGAATCAGAGACAATAAACACACCTAAGTAAAAATAGATCATAAAATAAATGCTATTTGGTAACATGTCATTTTTTTATTTGTACATTCACAATATTTTGTGCTGTAACTATCAGAGATTTTGATAAAACAGTTCAAATTAAATGAATGTCAGACCTTTAACTGTTCCGGCTCCCAGGAATCAAGAGTGAGTGATCGAACTTTGGACAGATGAACGCCAAGACTCCTGTCAACACAAATCAAAAACCTTATATCAAACCCATTAAATATCATAGAGTTCATGAGTAATACTATGTAAACCATGTTTACCGCTTTATATCATAATGTCGTGTAAGTTGACTACAATCTAGTTTATGTATTGTTAATACAACATTGGAAGAGGAGCTTGTAGATGTGAAATGACCTGTGGATGCCCGAGCACTCGATGCACATGGTGATGCCGAGGTTCACGCTGGCCCAGCGAGGCTCCGCCTCCCCACAGTCGCAGCAGCGTTGGTTACCGTTGCCACGGAGAGCCACGCCCAGAGCGGCGGGGGGAGGGGGCGGGTCTAAGACGGGCACAGGGGCGGAGCTCTCCTTCACCTAGACACACACAATATGCAAATGACACGATACAATCAGGGCTTGACATTAAGTTTTTTGCTCACCGGCCACTGTGGCTAGTGGTTTTCCAAAGTTACTAGCCACTCGGCATTTTCACTGGCCACATTTATTTCCTTGAAAATAATAATTTGGTAATTTTTGACCGACATGCGAAGAGCACCGGAGGAAAATATGACTTAAACCAATCTAAGATGGTACTTATGTAAACTACACAGCTTTTGACCAATGAATACCATTTTAGGGGCTTTCGCACTGGGTAGCTCTAGGAACTAGCCACTGGGGTGGTTCCCTAACTAACCACAAGGGTGGTTCCCTAACTAGCCACTAGGGTGGTTCCCTAACTAACCACAAGGGTGGTTCCCTAACTAGCCACTAGGGTGGTTCCCTAACTAACCACAAGGGTGGTTCCCTAACTAACCACAAGGGTGGTTCCCTAACTAGCCACTAGGGTGGTTCCCGAACTAGCCACTAGGATGGTTCCCTAACTAGCCACTAGGGTGGTTCCCTAACTCGCCCACTAGGGTGGATCCCTAACCAGCCACTAGGATGGTTCCCTAACTAGCCACTAGGGTGGTTCCCTAACTCGCCCACTAGGGTGGATCCCTAACCAGCCACTAGGATGGTTCCCTAACTAGCCACTAGGGTGGATCCCTAACTAGCCACTAGGGTGGTTCCCTAACTCGCCCACTAGGGTGGATCCCTAACCAGCCACTAGGATGGTTCCCTAACTAGCCACTAGGGTGGATCCCTAACCAGCCACTAGGATGGTTCCCTGACTAGCCACTAGGATGGTTCCCTAACTCGCCCACTAGGGTGGATCCCTAACCAGCCACTAGGATGGTTCCCTAACTAGCCACTAGGGTGGTTCCCTAACTCGCCACTAGGATGGTTCCCTAACCAGCCACTAGGATGGTTCCCTAACTAGCCACTAGGGTGGTTCCCTAACTCGCCCACTAGGGTGGATCCCTAACCAGCCACTAGTTCCCTAACTAGCCACTAGGGTGGATCCCTAACAAGCCACTAGGGTGGTTCCCTAACTCGCCCACTAGGGTGGATCCCTAACCAGCCACTAGGATGGTTCCCTAACTAGCCACTAGGGTGGATCCCTAACCAGCCACTAGGATGGTTCCCTAACTAGCCACTAGGATGGTTCCCTAACTCGCCCACTAGGGTGGATCCCTAACCAGCCACTAGGATGGTTCCCTAACTAGCCACTAGGATGGTTCCCTAACTAGCCACTAGGATGGTTCCCTAACTCGCCCACTAGGGTGGATCCCTAACCAGCCACTAGGGTGGTTCCCTAACTAGCCACTAGGGTGGATCCCTAACTAGCCACTAGGATGGTTCCCTAACTAGCCACTAGGATGGTTCCCTAACTCGCCCACTAGGGTGGATCCCTAACCAGCCACTAGGGTGGTTCCCTAACTAGCCACTAGGGTGGATCCCTAACCAGCCACTAGGATGGTTCCCTAACCAGCCACTAGGATGGTTCCCTAACTAGCCACTAGGGTGGTTCCCTAACTCGCCCACTAGGGTGGATCCCTAACCAGCCACTAGGGTGGTTCCCTAACTAGCCACTAGGGTGGATCCCTAACTCGCCCACTAGGGTGGTTCCCTGAGAACTAATGGTTCCCTTAGGAACATTTTCCTGGTTGCGTTCAAGCGCCAGTAGGAACTCTGAAGTGACGTAAGCCGCGCTTGTTGTTGTGACTTTTATTTTGACGCGCTGAGAACGCCAGAGCCACACAGCGCTCGCATTCTCCGTGTTCATTAGTTTACGATCTGTTTAAAGCTAGGGTATACGATTTCAAAGATTGTTCATTATTAATATCCTCGTTTAGATGCTGGTTATGGTTATATAGTACAATCCTAACAATATGAATAGAAAAAAGAATGAAAAAAATCCATTCACTCTATTGGCTGTACAGCCGCAGAGAAGTTGACCAATGTAAGCTGTCCGGCCGGACAGCTTACATTGGTCAACTGCTCTCATCCAATCACCAGCTCCACTGAAACTCCGCCTGGCGCTCGCATCTCCACCCCACCGCACCCCTCCTGCGTCATGAAATTGCGCGAGCAAGCAGCTGACAGTCTACGGTAGCTAGCTAAGTAGCATATCAGCAATGGATAAAAAAAAAGACAGCAGCAAGCGTCCCCTGCTTGCCCCTACAGTAAAGTAAGGACGAAAGAGAAAGTCAGTAGAGGAAGTTCCTATACGATAGTTCCTATAGCGCTGGTTTAGACCGACTCTGAAGCAGGAGCGAAATGAGTTCCTCCTAAAGGAGTTCCTAGAGCTAAAATCATTCCTAGTTCCTGCGGTGCGAACGCGCCAATAACCGGCTACTTCCGCCAATAGTTCTAGGAACTATATAAGGTTCCTCCGGTGCGAAAGCCTCTTTTGTTTGTGAAACTGGATTTTTGTAACTCATCATTTCATTCAATATTTCCAGATATATTTTACAACTGAACATTTTGTTGAGTCAAATTGAGTTGATGCCAAAAAGCTTCTGTAAGGGTGAGTTTAAGTAAATTAGCGAAAGTGTAAAACAACAAATGTGAAAAAGTAATATGTGTGCAAATGTGTGTGTGTGTGTTTGTACCTGAGTGTTTTGATCTGTTACTTGATCGCGGTACGCAATGTCTATACAGCCCTGAACGGCATTAATCCACGCCAACTTCAGCTCCTCAGAATCGGCCTGTAACACACAACACCTGTGCATGCAAACACAAAGATGCACAATTACTAACACAATAGGGCTGGGTATTGACACAAATTTCACAATTCGATTCGATTTCGATTCACAAGCTTGCAATTCGATTCCGATTCGATTCAATATGGATTATTTTGGATATCCGGTACAATACATGGCAAATTCTCTCAAGGAAAACAAATCTCTTAACTAATGCTGTAAACTATGAGAGTCAGTTGTAGCCTATAGGCTTCATTAGCCTACTATAATATTGAAGGTAAAAATGAACTGATTTGTAGCTATACAAACACTTAAATTACACTTATTTATTTTTATAATAATAAAGTTATATGAAATATAAACATTTAAATGGTGGCTGTCATAAAAACTTGCCAGATTTATTCAAACATGCATTAAATATTGAAGAACGTTAAAAATTATAATGAATATGTAATATGGTGCATATATTTAGCAAAATGCTCCTCTTTAGAGTTAATATTTCTAGCTGATTAACGAGTTTATGGTCACATATGGTTTTTCTGAGGTAAATGTGACGTTACATGACATTGTTTACAAGCGTTTTACTGACGTCTTTCCACAGATGAAACACTGATTGAGCGATTCCATGTGACATGATACGGATTTCGATAAGTTGTTCTCTATCTTTAACACACTTTCAGACGCTCATTCATGTTTATTTGGCGCTGTAACTGGTATTATTAAGGCAGAAGAGGAGATCATGAGCTTCTCTTGAGCTGAGCCAGAGCGATCTCACGCCACAGCGCCAAAACGCTATTTATGTTTTTAAATTTCGTAAGAAAATGGACGTAATTTGAAATTTGAGACTTTATTTAGTATCAATAGCAACAAAGCACAAAGATTATTGCCATTTATTGGATGGGATGCGCGCTACAATGATCCATTCATTCATCAAATGAAAACAGGATGACTAATAGATTCTTGAGATTTAAGAATCGATATCGGTTCGTAAAAATGAGAATCGATTAATATCGAGGAATCTTTATTTTTTTACCCAGCCCTATAACACAATCACCTTTTTATTATTAAATTATAACATCTCAGGATAAGCAGAGACGTTCTGCTCGTAATGATTATGAATATGAATATGTCGATATCAAGCTGGCGATATGTGTGTGTGTTATCATCATCTTACTTCTGCACTGACAGAAGCTCAAAACAGAAACGGCGGTCGACCACATCCAGAGATTTCACTGCACACAGACGCAGATCATCGAACAGAACAAGAGGCTGCTCCTAAAACACACACAGACAAGCACACACACTGTGTGAAACATGCTAATGTGATCGGTCACTGATAGACTGATATGGATAATGGTTTACCTTGTGTGATTTTGAGTAGATTAACTGATTATTTTCAGTGTAAAACCAGCACCTGAAAGATGGAAACAATTACAAAACAGTGCATCTGTTAAGCACTTGATGTTGACAAGATTATGTAAACAGTATAAAGATATCTTTATCTCCAGGGTTAAAATAGTTTATTATATACACTCGGTTTCAGAATTATGAAATATAATCTTAACTACAAAAACTACACTTTCGTTGTAGTTTTCCATATTTATATGTTTAACTGAATTTTGTAACATTTCACTTGATCTTTATTTGTGTTCCTCTCCTGTCGATCTCTTTATCATGTAAATCTTTATCATGATTTTCGTCATTAAAAAATTTAAACTTTAAAATTTTTGGAAAATATAAAGACTAATTCAAAATTTGAATCATTTTTTTAAAATATTATCTCAGACACTGGGTCTCTCACCTCTTCCATGTCTTGTTCTTCTTGCGAGAACGTTTGAACAGGTAGCCTTGAATCGTTCCTCCGTCAGACGGATTACACACAATAACCGCCTCTCCAGACGCATCCTACCAAACACACACACAATCATTATCAACCGTTATCAGACGTACACCATCAAAATATCAACCTCCAGAATCATATCAGCTCCCAAACTCACTATGACTGAACAGACCATTTTGAAAAGGTTTAACAAACTGTTTTATTTTCTGATGTTGACATGTTGGGGGGGGGGGGGGGGGTTAAAAAGCAGCTCAGTTGTGAGGATAACGCCTTTTCTAGAATTTTTTGACATAAAAGGTAGATTCGAAAAGTAAGCAGATCTAACAGTTTTAAGGTCTTTCTGTATGCAATAGCACTATCCTTCCATGAAATACGAAATACCTCTAGTTCTGTTTTCTTCCAGCTGCGCTCCGTTCTAAGTGCTCAGATAATAATAATTAGGGCTGTAATCAACCAAAGAAAATCTTGGTCGACTTAAGTCCTGAAATTTCGACTAGAAATCGACTAAAAAGGGAGGGGGGAACCCGGAAAAACGCGTAAAAAAAAAAGTTAGATTAATTAGCTGCGCAGTACTTAGTAGCCTTGTCCGCCTAAATGAATTATAAATAAACAAAAACTAGTAGGCTATTAAATCGTTTTTGACCTAATTATTTTGCACTGAAATGACACACTCGAGTTTGTCGGCTCTGACATCACGTGCCACTGCGTAATATTATAGCTAGCCTATGATTTCCGAAAATAGTACTATGTCAACTAGTGATATCAGCACAAGAACTGTTGAGGAATATGCGCCATAATTTAGACAATTGTTTTTGTCATATGTTATAATTAGGGCTGTCAGTTAAACGCGTTATTAACGGCGTTAACGCAAACCCATTTTAACGGCGTTAATTTTTTTATCGCGCGATTAACAGTCTTTTTGGCCTAGCAAACTTTGTAGTTTTTTTCACATGCTTTTGCAACAGGACGCGGCGCGGCGCTATGATGAAACCCATTCATTTCTATGGCTTGAGCCGCGCGAGGACGTTTTGTTGCTTTGTCGACCAAAGCGCAAGCGGATCTAGCTAGACCGGAAACAAAACAGCAGGCACGCCGCACACACACCCGTTTAGGCTTGCGAGCCGGCCAAATAGTTGGTTAACGTTACGTTTTGAGTGGATGGCGAGCGCGAGACGCCGAAATGGATGCCAATAAGATTCTGAATGGAAAGTTTACGTATAAAAAGTTGCCAAATGGTTCCATTGACGAGACCAAAATGATCTGTGTGTTTTGTCGTTGTGAACTGAGCTATCATCATCGCAGCGCGTCCAGTCTGAAACACCACTTGATGGCCAAGCACACACACACACACACACACACACACACACAGCTGATGAGAATTCTCCGCCCCCTCGTCAATATCAGGACCTCGTCAGTATTTCTTTCACCCTTTTATTGATGGACAGTGTTACATTGTGTGAGAGATTATTTGCTCCAAGTGAGAATGTTAGTGTGAGATTGAACACTGTATATGCCAATGTTGTTTTCAATGAAAAACATTTGCACAAAGCAAGCCGATCCACTTTTCCATGTTGATAAGAGCATTAAAATGAGAAAAAATAATGGGACAAAAAGAAACCAAGAGACATTTAGAATAGATAAAAATGTGTGATTAATCGCGAGTTAACTGTGACACTAATGCGATTAATCGCGATTAAATATTTTAATCATTTGACAGCACTAGTTATAATAACTGATAGACACTATCATTTCAGCCAGGCTGAACATAGGAGCTCAGCTTCGCGGCTGAGACACGAATAGACTATTAACTTAAAGCTTTTCCTCTTAAACACAAAAGGCACGTCCACTTTAATAAAAAATAAAAATATTTATTAAACAAACCAGATCAAGACGAGAGCAGAAACTAAATAAAGTGCATAACTGAAAAATAAAGCATAGGCTCAAAACAAATACAAACAGTCGGCACAGAGCAACTGCGCATTAGGTTTAGGCATTGGGTTGGGCTAATCCAAAACAAGGGGGGTTTTCTGAAGACCGACTGTCACCTGTGAAACAGGGGTGCGCTGAAAACACCCCCATTAGCAATTAGTGCTTTCCACCTGATGAAATTAACACGGCAAAAAATCGACCAATCAGAATTTTGGTCGAGCCAGGACGCATCGACCAATAAATCGACTGGGAGATAATAATAATACAGCCCTAATAATTATATTCTAAATGTGTTTTTTTTATATACAATGAATGTATGTGTTATATAGGCTATGTTATTGAATTCATTACTGCATTAAACACTTGCAAAAAAAAAGAGATTGAGCCTCAGCCAGGTGAGAAAAAGGAACGCTTTACATAAAAAGTAACGCAATTAGTTACTTTTTTAGGGAGTAATGCAATATTGTAAAGCATTACTTTTGAAGAACTAAGTTGAAGGTCCGGAAGATGATTTGCTTCTGATCTGCTTTTTGTACCGTGACAGAATCATTTTACAATTTAGTGAATTTCTCATTTCAGAGAGTCTTATATTGAAGAAATGTTTACGTATATAAGAAATGTTTAGATAGAAATGTACATTTTAAATATTATATTTAGTATTTCTACATGAATAATGAGTTTAAATGAATAATGAGCATTGAGTAATGAGTAGAGCATTTTTTGAGTAATGAGTATCTTTTGAGTAATGAGTTTTGATTGCGTTATGTGTTTTGAGTATATAGTAGTAATGATTATTGAGTATTTGTTGAGTACTGAGTCTTTTTTGAGTATTGAGTAATGAGCATTGAGTATGGAGTAGTTTCTGAGTAATGAATACTGAGTATTTTGAGTATTGAGTAATGGCTTTTGAGTACTGAGTAATGAGCATTGAGTATTTTTTTTAAATGCTACTTTTAAGAGTACACTAGCTATAAGACCCTAAATTGTACCTCCAAACTTGTTTTATGTGGTCGTCAAAACGTATATAAGAGGCACTAAAATCTCACCCTTTGCTGAACGAGCAGGTGTGTGTTTTCCAGGTCTTTCCTCTTGGCAGTGCAGTCAGACGACAGCTGAGAGAGCTGCGCACACATATTACTCATATTAAACTTCTAATATCCATGAAACATTAGCATTCAAATACTGTGTGTCTATGTAAAGGGGTTTGTTGTGTGTGTGTGTGTGTGTGTGGGGGGGGGGGGGGGTATAAACTGGGCGTGATGTGTGTGTTCATGTTTGACCTGTGAGGCCATCGTCTTCATGGTCGGTTCTAGATCTCTCAGCAGGTCGAATCCCTGGTGGAAAAATGTGTACTGAGCGTGAAAATACGAGAAGACCTGAGACAGAAAGATGATTTTAGTCAGTTTACATTCATCTGAACAAGATGTCATAGTATTTATAAAGTTTTCTGATTAGAGCTCACCGAATTCAGAATATCAAGCTTCTGTTGGACCTTGAAATTATTCAGCTGCAAAAAAAAAAAAAAAAAAATACATTTCAATCATGTTCGGGGGCAACTTCAAATGTGGGTGGATTTCGAAGCTATGCTGATAAAGGGCTCATTTAAGTCTTAAAGGTACAGTACCAGCAAAAGCTCAAACTCAGAGAATGATCATGAAAAACTAAATTAACATGGTTTTGCTTGGCTAAAATTATATGTGGATTTTAGAAAAAAAAAACTAAATGCTGTAAAAAATTTGAATACGAACTGCTTAAAATACAAAATACAACAGTTCAACAATGTAATGTAAAATAAACTAAAATATAAAATATACCTACAATAAAATAATATAAAAATATAAGCTAAAATATAATATACAACATGCCTGTAAAAAATATATAATTTAAAATTATCAACTAAAGTATAATATAAAACATGCCTGTAATAAATTATAACATAAAAACTAACTAAAATATGCCTATAATAAAATATATTATAAAAATATAAACTGAAATATAATATAAACATGCCTGTAATAAAATATAATATAAAAAATATTATAAAATTATAAACTATAATATAAAAACAAACTAAAATATAATATAAAACAAGCCTGTAATAAAATATAACATAAAAACAAACTAAAATATTATATAAAATATGCCTATAATAAAATATATTAGAAAAATATAAACTGAAATATAATATAAAACATGCCTGTAATAAAATATAATATAAAAAATATTATAAAATTATAAAATATAACATAAAAACAAACTAAAATATAATATAAAATATGCCTATAATAAAATATATTATAAAAATATAAACTGAGATATAATATAAAACATGCCTGTAATAAAATATAATATAAAAATATTATAAAATTATAAAATATAACATAGAAACAAACTAAAATATAATATAAAATATGCCTATAATAAAATATATTATAAAAATATAAACTGAGATATAATATAAAACATGCCTGTAGTAAATTATAATTTAAAAATATTATAAAATTATCAAATATAACATAAAAACAAACTAAAATATAATATAAAATATGCCTATAATAAAATATATTATAAAAATATAAACTGAAATATAATATAAAATATGCCTATAGTAAAATATATTATAAAAATATAAACTGAAATATAATATAAAATATGCCTATAATAAAATATATTATAAAAATATAAACTGAAATATAATATAAAATATGCCTATAATAAAATATAACATAAAAAACTAAAATATAATATAAAATATGCCTATAATAAAATATATTATAAAAATATAAACTGAGATATAATATAAAACATGCCTGTAATAAAATATAATATAAAAATATAAACTGAAATATTATATAAAATATGCCTATAATAAAATATATTATAAAAATATAAAATGAAATATAATATAAAATATGCCTATAATAAAATAACTCATAAAAATATAAACTGAAATATAATATAAAATATGCTTATAATAAAATATATTATAAAAACATAAACTGAAATATAATATAAAATATGCCTACAATAAAATATATTATAAAAATATAAACTGAAATATTATATAAAATATGCCTATAATAAAATATATTATAAAAATATAAACTGAAATATAATATAAAATATGCCTACAATAAAATATATTATAAAAATATAAACTGAAATGTAATATAAAATATACCTATAATAAAATATATTATAAAAATATAAACTGAAATATAATATAAAATATACCTATAATAAAATATATCATAAAAATAAAAACTGAAATATTATATAAAATATGCCTATAATAAAATATATTATAAAAATATAAACTGAAATATAATATAAAACTATATTTTTAAAAATAATTATGTGGACTTCATTGAAAAAGCTAAATGCTATAAAACCGTAGAACATGTGTGTCTTAAACCCCGGATGACTGACAGTACCTGCAGGCAGTAGTCCAGGGCGAAGTGTTGGTAGCACTTGCGTGTGGCGAGCAGCAAGTGAGTCGCTCTCTCCGCGTCCACGGGTTTGTGTCGGCTGACCTGAGCGTTCTTCCCAACGGTGGCGTCGAGGTCGTCTCCGATCCGGACGAACTCACGCCGAGTGTCGCGAATCTGCGGCACAAATCTGCCACAGAACAAACCATTACGCGTTAGTACTGTGAAAGTGTGTGAACGTTAGCGTTGGGTGTCGCTAACGGTACCTTTTTTCTGTAACTTAGGCATGTTTACCTCAATAACTGTAAAGAAACTAAGTCATTTGTAGAAGTGTTATTGACATTATGCCAGAGCTGCCTTGGTCGCTGTCTGCCATTTACTGTCATGCTTGAATATTAATAAAAAACAACCATTTTGGTAATAAAAAAAATTAAATGTTTTGTTTTCCACAAATTCTGTGTTGTGAATTGTCTAGTAACCAAATGAAGACATAAAACATTAATTTCATTGATCTTTTATGTTAAATTAGTAGAAAAAATGGGGAAACAGAAATTTGCTGAAAAACCGTGGTTAACAAAGGGAATCCAAAATTCATGTAAACGAAAAAATGCGTTATATAAGCTTTTTATTAAAAAAATAACTAAAGAAGCTGAGCAAGCATATAAGTTATATAAAAATAAACTGACTAATATTATTAGAAACAGTAAGAAAGAGTACTATAGTAAAACATTGGATAATAACAGAAATAACATAACAAAAACATGGAAAATATTAAATGAAATAGTAAAAAACAACGTTGGAAGGTCAGGATGCCCAACCTATTTTATGACAAAAAACAATAAAATTATAAGTGATAAGGAACAAATTGCTAATGATTTCAATAATTTTTTTGTCAATGTTGGTCCCAATCTGGCTGGGGAGATTGTAGGAATTGATAGGAAAAGTAGAACGGAAAGAGAAACGGGTAGTGTAAATAAGCAATCAATGTTTATAAGAGGAACAGATGGAAAAGAAATAATTGATATTGTTAAATCATTTAAAAATAAGAAGTCAACTGACTGGAATGATATGGATATGTGTGTGGTAAAACATATTATCGAGTGTATTGAGAAACCTCTAGTACATATATGTAACTTGTCTCTTCAAAAAGGTTTATTTCCTAAAAAAATGAAAATTGCCAAAGTGATACCCATATATAAAACTGGGGATAGACATACTTTTTCAAATTATAGGCCTGTTTCTTTGCTTTCACAGTTTTCAAAAATATTGGAAAAATTATTTTATACAAGATTAAATGATTTTGTTATTAAATACAACATATTAAGCAAAAAACAATATGGGTTCAGAAGTAATAGAACAACAACACATGCATTAATAGAATTTGTGGAGAAAATATCCAACGCAATAGAAAATAAACAATACACAGTTGGGGTGTTTTTAGACATTAAGAAAGCATTTGACACGGTCGACCACGCCATATTGTTAGAGAAATTGAAAAAATATGGAGTAAGAGGGGTAGCCCACTCTTGGATAAGTAATTACTTAGAGAAAAGGCATCAATATGTCCAAATAGATAATTGCAAGTCACAACTGGTGCAGGTAACATGTGGGGTTCCCCAAGGCTCTGTGCTGGGCCCATTGCTTTTTTTGTTATACATTAATGATATATGTGAGGTTTCCAAAGTATTACAACTGATATTATTTGCTGATGATACAAACTTATTTTGTTCTGGTGACAATCTGAAACAACTTTTGGATACAATGGGAAAAGAAATGGCACTGCTAAAAAATTGGTTTGATTCGAATAAACTAACGTTAAATATAAGTAAAACAAAATGTATTGTGTTTGGCAATCATTCATCTAATACAATAGGTAAATTAATGATTAATGAAGTTGAAATCGAAAGGGTGTCAGCTAATAAATTTCTTGGAGTAATTATAGACAAAAACTTAAATTGGAAGCCCCATATATCTTATATTAAGAACAAGATTTCAAAGTCAATTGCAATATTATATAAAGTTAAATATTTCTTAAATGAAAAATCACTATATACTTTGTATTGTTCCCTTGTGCTTCCATACATTATTTATTGTGTGGAAGTATGGGGAAATACATATAAAACAAATACCAATCCCATATTTATGCTTCAAACGAGAGCAATGCGAATAATAAAGAAAACCACATATCAGGAGCCAACAAACTCCCTTTTTATTTAATTAAATGCTTTAAAGTTTAAAGAATTAGTAGAACTAAAAACACTACAAATCATGTATAAAGCAAAAAACCATCAATTGCCAGAAAGTATCCAAGGGTTGTTCACAGAAAGAGTATGCCAACATGACTTAAGGGGAACCTGTATTTTTAAAAAGAACCAAGTGAGGACCAATGCTAAACAACATTGTATTTCAGTTAAAGGTGTAAATTTATGGAATAACTGTCATGAGGAACTAAAAAAATGTGGGACACTAAGTAAGTTAAAGAAACTATTTAAAGATAAAGCAATGAAATTATATGAAACAATTTAAAGAGTGATAAATGAATAAGCTGTTTTTGTTGTATTCTAGAGTGTGAAACTGAATTACATAGGAAATACTTGGGTTTTGTATTCTTTTTAGATTTGTTTGTCAACATTATATTGATGTAAGACAATACTTATTTTTATTTATGTGTTTAAAATATGAGATGTTTTTCAAAAAGGGTAGGCATTATAAGCAAGAGCTTCAGCCTACACCTGTTTCAGACAGAAGTAAATATGCTGTAGTTTGTCAGCTGAGCTGTGTTTAAACTAAGTTGTCTGTCTGAAATAAACCAAACCAAACCAAATTAAAACAACTTTGTCAAAAAACATGCGGCACAACTGAGCTTTATACTGTTAAAATTACAACAAAAGTGTAATTATTCCTTAAAGAATTCATTTTTGATAATTTATTATTATTAGTGTTAGTATTATGATTAAATTGAGATATCTAAATTCTACTGTACATCAGTAATATATTATCAAGTTAAACCGAACTTTTATTTTGACAGGTTGTGTTGAAGACCTTTGAGTTTCCGTGTGTTAATGATGATATGACGATAGTTTTTCTTGAATGAAACTGATGAACTTCAGTGACTCTCAGAGCGGCTCTGGAAATGCATTTCATGTTCCCATATAGTGAGACTGCAGAGGCTGAAAAGCGTGTGTGTGTGTGTGTGTGTGTGTGTGGTAAATGAAACTCATTCACACGTTCTCACTTCTCAGGTACCGAAATTTGGCACTGATTGATTTGATGTGAATCGGTACTCGGTAGTTAACCCAACCCTAGTGAACGTGTGTGTGTGTGTGTGTGTGTGTGTGTGTGTGTGTGTGTGTGTGTGTGTGTGTGTGTGTGTGTGTGTGTGTGTGTGTGATGTTACGTACTGTGAAAGCAGGTTTGAGAGCTGCTGGGTAATTGCTCTCTGAGTCTGATCAAACAGCATCTGCATGAAAACACATTTATAATCAAAAACATGCGCAAGTCTACACAGGTGCATGTATATCTTTACTATGGTTTAATGCCTATTTACATGGTGGGCGTCAATACATTGCATTACAAAATACATGCTCCACTAGTTTGATTATGAGTAAAGGTGTGCCCCAAGGCTCTGTGCTGGGGCCACTCCTATTTTCTGTTTATATTAATGATATGCCCAGTATTTGTTTATTCTGTAATGTTCATCTTTATGCTGATGATACAGTCTTATATACATCGTATAACCAGAAGGACCAAGTACAAAATGCACTTCAATCGGATTTTATTATTGTTCAGAATTGGCTCAGAGAGCACAACCTTTTTCTGAATAAGAAAAAAACTTGCACTATGTTGTTTAAACTGAGACCTTCTAAAGTTAATACGAATGAATAACAAATCTGTATGATTGATGGAAGATCTCTTGTAAATGTAAATACAGTTAAGTACCTGGGTCTGTGGTTGGATACTGAGCTATCATTCAATGATCATATTGATGCTACAGTTAAGAAAGTTAAATAATATTTGTGTCAGTTGTACTGTTCAATTGATTGCTTTACAATTGATACAAGAAAGCGTATTGCGCAGCAACTCCTATTACCCCTAATTGATTATGCAGATATTGTTTATCACACATCAAGTGTTACTTCTCTTAAAGCTCTAGATTTTTTATTTAATTCCATATGTAGATTTGTTCTAAGGTATCCATTTATGACACATCACTGCACGCTATATGAAAAATTGGACTGGCTCCAACCTAAAGAAAGAAGAATGTATCACTGGTATATGTTTATTTTTAGTTGCATTAATTATGCCAATAAATGCCCCCCTTATCTTCAACAATACTTTGTCAGACATATCTCAGCCTATCCCATACGACATTTGCTACATCCATTTTTTGCTACACCTAGAATACATCGTGAAATTGGGAGAAGAGCATTTTATTATAAAGCTCCTATGGACTGGAATAACCTCCCATTGTCATTGAAATCTACTACATCATTACACTCATTTAAATCAGCACTATTTTTACATTTAAAAACACCATGTACATGTTTTAATTGAGGATTTTATTTTCTCATTAGAATGCTGTAGTGTCATGTGAACACCCTATGAGGCCGTATTACTGTCAATGTATTCATGTAATTTATTGTATAATTTGGGGGGGGGTGGTGGGTCTTGGGGGGGAACATGCTGTGAATGATGTCCTGTTGAGTTTGGTCTTTATTTATTTTTATCTTTATTTTATTTTTTACATATGTTATTGTGTATTGTTATGTTTTGAGCATGTGTGGCTCTGGTTGTTATTTTCAAAAAGTGATTGAAAGGACCCCCTTGAAAATGAGATGGTACATCTCAAGGGGCTATCCAAAATAAAAGAATAAGAATATCAGCTTTGAAAGAGGCTCGTCCAATCAGATTTTACTGGTAATGTATTTTTAATGTTTTATTTGTATAGTGACAGATACAATAAACATAGAAAAAACTGTCCCTAGAAGGGCTCTTATAAATTACAGTTCCAACAGCAAACAAACCCAAAGAGAGAAAGAAAGAAAAACCTAAACATGAGTACAGGTTTATTGCTGAATTTACCAAGGTTTTTTATTGTTATTATTAAAACTTGCAGCAGATTTTAAATAATCAGGTAATGAATTCGATATTTTTACAGCTTTCACTGAGAGGATACTTTTCAATTTCAAAATGAAATTTGACAATTCCCACTAGAAGTGGCTCTGTTCCACCCGTACAAAGTCTCAAAACATGTACATAAGGGCTGAGAAATACAGAGTAAGACTCACCGTCTGAAACTGGATCATTTCTTGAAGGCCTTGGTTGAACTGACGCAGACAGTTCTGCAGGAACACAAGCAGTGAGAGGTCAGCATGAGAGGCCTGGCCAGAGGTCGTGACCCTTCAGACATCTGTACTCACCAGAATAACTCCGTCGTTCTTATGATACGCGGTGAACTCGGCCAGACCGGAGAGGAACAGCTGATTGCAGGAGGTGTAGTTCTGACCCGCATCCACCATCTGACCACACAACTTCATCACCTACAGAGAGGGGGGGGAGGGGGAGAGGGAGTGGGAGAGAGAGAGAGAGAGAGGGAGAGGGGGGGGGGGGGCGGTCATCAAGCTAAGATGAAATGTACAATAAGGGCTAATATCTTGAGAAAATTATTTTACATTGATCTTTTGACATAAGTCAAAAATTCCTCCCCGTTCAAAAAAACTTTTAAAGGTGCAGTAAGCGATTTCTGAGAAACGATGTTGATATTTGAAATCACCAAAACAAACACGCCCTTTCACAAACTTTTTATAGCTCCGCCTCCACATTCAAGAACACGATATGCAAAACAGGCACCTCCCCCCATCATAAGTGGACATGCCCCCCTACTGCTGATTGGCTCACTCTCTCCTCCCCATCATGAGTGGACACACCCCCTACTGCTGATTGGCTCATTCTCTCTCCTCCCCATCATGAGTGGACACACCCCCTACTGCTGATTGGCTCACTCTCTCCTCCCCATCATGAGTGGACACACCCCCTACTGCTGATTGGCTCATTCTCTCTCCTCCCCATCTTGAGTGGACATGCCCCCTACTGCTGATTGGCTCACTCTCTCCTCCCCCATCATGAGTGGACACGCACCCTATTGCTGATTGGCTCACTCTCTCTCCTCTCCATCTTGAGTGGACACGCCCCCTACTGCTGATTGGCTCACTCTCTCCTCCTCCATCATGAGTGGACACGCCCCCTACTGCTGATTGGCTCACTCTCTCCTCCTCCATCATAAGTGGACATGCCCCCTACTGCTGATTGGCTCACTCTCTCTCCTCCCCCATCATGAGTGGACACACCCCCTACTGCTGATTGGCTCATTCTCTCTCCTACCCATCTTGAGTGGACACGCCCCCTACTGCTGATTGGCTCACTCTCTCCTCCCCCATCATGAGTGGACACGCCCCCTATTGCTGATTGGCTCACTCTCTCTCCTCCATCTTGAGTGGACACGCCCCCTACTGCTGATTGGCTCACTCTCTCCTCCATCATGAGTGGACACGCCGCCTACTGCTGATTGGCTCACTCTCTCCTCCCCCATCATAAGTGGACACGCCCCCTACTGCTGATTGGCTCACTCTCTCCTCCCCATCTTGAGTGGACACGCCCCCTACTGCTGATTGGCTCACGCTCTCTTCCCCCATCATGAGTGGACACACCCCCCACTGCTGATTGGCTCAGTCTCTCCTCCCCATCTTGAGTGGACACGCCCCCTACTGCTGATTGGCTCACTCTCTCCTCCCCCATCATCAATGGACACGCCCCCTACTGCTGATTGGCTCACGCTCTCTTCCCCCATCATGAGTGGACACACCCCCCACTGCTGATTGGCTCAGTCTCTCCTCCCCATCTTGAGTGGACACGCCCCCTACTGCTGATTGGCTCACTCTCTTCCCCATCTTGAGTGGACACGCCCCCTAGTGCTGATCATAGACTGTAAAAAAATATGGACGTAGTATCCGTGACGTCACCCGTAGGTTTCTGAAGAGCGTTTTTGAAGCCTAAAGTGGGCGGGGCTAACCGTCGCCATCTTGGAGGCGCGTCACCTCTCGTCACTACCGGATAAAATAAAATGGGCAAAGAGGCGGATCGTGGGTGGAGCAGAGGTGCTAATGCTATATGCTACTGGCCTCACGCTAAAGTGACAGCTGATTGAAGATTAAAGCCAATAGTTAAAGTTCTTTTTTTTTGCCTTTCGAAATATATTAATAGTTAAAAGACGTAACTAAAAGTGAGACTATTTACTTTACTTTTTTTCTCAACTTTCTTAATCCCAAAAGGGGCAATTAGTTAAGAGCATGTAGGCTATACAACAGTACATAACACAGATCACACACATTTCTCACAACATACAAGCAGTCAACTATGTGTATCGTGATGCATTATTATTCTGCTAGTTAAAAATGTATTATCATGCAGACAGTTACTTACAGTATTGCTCTGAGCTTGTGCGTGTGACAGTGATTCATGCACATACATGTCAGTCAGCATGGCATCGCACGTCAAGTTCAAGTTCGTAAAAGAGCTTTATTCAGTCTGATTTTCATCTGATATCATCTGATTTGGGCCGCCTCTCAATTTCTCAGATGGGTTAAACCAGCTTTTAAACCAGCAATTAAAGATTTTACCTCAGAAGTTCAGTAAATGCACTAGAAATCCGCGCTCATTTAAGTGTGCATGGACGAAGAGAAAGCTCTGACACCTGCAGGATTTCATCTGACGGTACTTTTTATTTTACACTACAAAGTTAAATAAGCATATCTGTTCCGTGAGAGCAACAGTACCGCATAATGAGTGTGGTCTCTATATCTACAGACGTTTTTAAATCTAAACTCAAAAAAGCAATGAAATTGTCAGACATCCAGATTAGTGCATGCGAGGGAAACAACTGGAAATACAGCGCTGGTTGTTCTCTCCATCCTCGACAACGACGGAATCCAACGGCGTGCATGGGCGAAGGTATAATACGTGTATTAAATTGTATGAAATAATCCCGAAAAAAGCACAAACACAGCTGAGGGTGACGCTAACAGACAGCAGACAAACGACTAGCAGTGAAAGCAGCGGCAATCCACCTGTCACTCAAGTGGCCACGCCCTTAATTATGCAGAACTTTAAGGCTTAATATAATTTCAACGGATGAGTTGTAAAAAAAATTCACCCCCCTCACAGTCGTTATGAAGGGCAAAATTAGCGATATAGACCAAAACAACTATTTGCCACCAGGCTGTAAACATGTTTTTTTCTGCTGTGAAGTGAGGCATTTTAACATAGGGGAGATACAGATTTGACTCGCTTTTGCAGTCAGCCTCAAGCGGCCACTCGATGAATTGCAGTTTAATTCACTTCCGTGTTGGTTTCAAGAGAGAGACGGGGAGGTTGCCGCTTGGTGCTGATTGGCTCACTCTCTCCTCCCCCATCATGAGTGGACACGCCCCCTACTGCTGATTGGCTCACTCTCTCCTCCCCATCATGAGTGGACACGCCCCCTACTGCTGATTGGCTCACTCTCTCCTCCCCCATCTTGAGTGGACACACCCCCTACTGCTGATTGGCTCACTCTCTCCTCCTCATCATGAGTGGACACGCCCCCTACTGCTGATTGGCTCACTCTCTCCTCCCCATCATGAGTGGACACGCCCCCTACTGCTGATTGGCTCACACTCTCCTCCCCCATCATGAGTGGACACGCCCCCTATATATTATACACACACACACACACATATGACTTTGATACAATATTATATAAAAACAAACTAATTTATAATATAATATTAAGCTTAAAACACTAATGTTTTCGGCACAAAAATAAAACTTCACCCGCATTATAATCAGACCTTACGGGGATTTTTTTAAATATATGCTGGATGGTACATCTTACTTTCTCCACACGACTCTCCAGTTCTGCAACATCACTCTCGCATTTATCCAGGGACTGCCTGCAA